TGTTCTACTTTAAAAAGGCGGACATGCATTAGCAGGCTAACAGAGGTGTTTCATGCAGAATGACCTAAATGTTTCACTTTGAGGGCAAGAAAAAATGCTGAGAGTGTGTGTGTGTGTGTGTGTGTGTGTGTGTGTGTGTGTGTGTGTGTGTGTGTGTGTGTGTGTGTGTGTGTGTGTGTGTGTGTGTGTGTGTGTGTGTGTGTGTGTGTGTGTGTGTCTCTTTCTGAAAGTGAGAGTGAGAAAGAAACAGACTGATAGACAATCAACTTACAGCGCTCCACATTCCTTGCATGGCTCACATAACTTTCCCTATTATTGTGCATATCTGTGTGTGTGTGTGTGTGTGTGTGTGTGTGTGTGTGTGTGTGTGTGTGTGTGTGTGTGTGTGTGTGTGTGTGTGTGTGTGTACACTGCACCCAGCCCACACTAATTGTACTCATTCTGAAACCCTAGAATTAGAAGGACCCCAAAAAAACCCAATAATTGCTACTTCACCTACATGATGCCCACCCCGAGGCAGTGCAGTGGGAGGAAGACATTTCCCATCAGCCTCTGGGGCTGCTGGCAAGGGCTCCTTTCGGATTTGGCTACTTTCACAGCTTTGAGATTGTTTTTTTTCTTAATGTTGTGCTTCCTTACTTGGAACAATAAATAATACACTCACGTTGCTTTGGACATTTAGACCCGTAGCAGAAGAGAAGAAAAGAGGGAAATGTGTGTGTGAGAGTGTGAGAACACAACAGAAACACAAACACAGAAAAAAGGGGATAGAAATGAACGAACACATACCCAATACTGACACAAAAAACATGAACAAAAACCCAAACAGACACATCAGAGATCACATTCATACAGTTCTGCGATCACTGACGCACATGAGAGCATACGTCGATGCACACATTTTCACACAGACAGGAAAAAATATACTCACTGACAAAGTACACACACATACACACACACAGAGAGAAAAACATGCTCAAAAAGACATAAAGACATCCGCACATGTAGGAAAACACATACAGTACATTCATATGAAGCCATACACCCTTCACTTGATAAATAATACATTGCACAAGTCAGAGTTATATAAAGAGCACTGAGACAGAGAGAGAGGAAGGAAGAGAGAGATAGAACATTCTGCTGGACTGGTTGCCAATGGCAACAGTGTTTTGGAGGCTGATCATCAGTAAGAGAGCATCAGCTGGGTTTCAAAGAGTGGTGGAGAACAAGCACGCTTTGCACCACACATGATACTTTTTAGTCAATATATTCATTCTTTGCGGGTATATTTTGTCAGACAACTTATTAATAATGCACCTTAAAGAGCCGTAATGATTAACTTCAACTAGTGTTGTGATGTGCACTTGGATAAACTATTTGGAAGGACCTGCATCTGTGTTTGTTCTTATTGTGATTTAGTATCCTAGTTAAGTATCCTACAAATGCTTCATATCTGTGAAATCTGGAAAATGTGAGTTAAAAGCTATTTATAACAGCAAGCTATAATAATTCATCAATAAATGTTGAAATGGTGCTTAAAAAAACACTCAAATTGGACATGACTATTTACAAATGATGCTAAATTGAAAAATAAAACGGATTAATCCAAAAGATATCTGAATGTCAAAATATGCATGAGTTATTTTAACTTGTATAGATGCTTATAGATTATGTTCATTTTAAGGAGAATAGTGTAATCTAAATAAAGTGCTGCATTGGCTTTTTTAGCTTGTAATGATGTAATTTCTTGGAGTATCCTCAAATGCTTAAAATCCTTTAATTCCGTACAAGCTAATGGTTATGTAAGTTTTGTTAGTTATGCTATCGCTAGGAAAGTCCAATTTTATAGGATTAAGTGCTCGGGCTCATCCACATGCCCTTTTGATTCTGGCTTCAGAAAAGGCAGTCAACATCAGAACAATTCAGCGGCCAGACAAGCAAGCTTTTTTCACCCCGCAACGGCATAATGCCATCAACCACATTTCAATGATTTTCCTAACAAGCACGGTCTCTGTTCGTGTCTCGTCAATTCTCTGATTTCGCTCATGTCAAAGGAGCAGTGAGCACTCCAATGATTTAGCAGTGAGCTCCCAAGAGATAGTTTTTAACTAAAGTGCAGCGATTGTGAGAATCAGCGCGGGGTACCCATGTTCAAAACAACAAGTTAGTCAATTGCCAATTCCACTACCAATGTTTTTTCTAAAGTCCGACTGATTCCTGGAGCCGATACCGATATTAGGGGGAGAAAAAAAAAATCAGGTCGATATCTTTCTTTAATTTATCATCGATCTTTAAAGACAGATAAGCACATTTCTTGCCTTGATCCCTCAAATGCAGTTATCGAACACTTGTGAATTAACAATTGTAAGAATAAACTGAATAAACCAACTTTTATCGGGAATAAAGTAAACTGAAGCCGATGGTCATGTGACGTGCTAATATCGTCCAATATTATCGGCCAGACAATTAATCGGTCAGCTCTAGTTTTGTCATTACTTGTTTGTGAATTTTTTGTCTGTTTTTCAAATGAGCGATGTGATTGGATGTTTTTAAATTGTTGTTAGTCGTCCCTCCTCATGGAAAAAGTCACTTCAGTGTCTCTTAAAAACAGGATGTCCAGAGACGATGTAAGACTCCCACACGTTTTTTTTCATATTTTGTCACACATTTCCGGTGTTGAAAAATAAATAAAAACAAAGTGCAAGAAGCTGCAGTTCTTCGAGTGTCCACTTGAAGCTGGCTGCAAAATCCCTGGAAGTTAAATACACACCCATTTTCAAATTGGACATTTCGACAGCAGAAATAAACATGTTTACAGCCTCGTCCAAAAAAACGTTTGATCTAAATAGTTCATGTTTTTATCACAACACTGTACGTGGGGTGATTTCTTTTTATAAGGCATCCTTTTTGATTTCATGGAGGAAACAAGTTAAGAATAATGAAGGGTGTGGCTGACTGTACTGCTAGTAGGCGTGTTGTCGCTGTTTGCCAGGAGGCTTAATATCCGCCTTAGTGTCAACTATTTGCTTGTTACTAGGTCGACCAAAAGTCAGGTCGAGGTATTTTCAATGGGGACCACCGTCGCTGGGCTTCAAAACATCCTCTCAGTAAACAATGGGTGACATCACTGAGACTATACGTCCGTGTCTTATACAGTCTGTGGTTCAACCATGAAAACACATCAGATTTGGAGACTTCTTCTGCCCAATACAAAAACTCTTCTCAGGCTCAGCAGAAGGTATACTAACTTGGCAGCATTACGTAAATGTGACATATCAGATACACATGAGCTACATCATCGGTACACCACATTATTTGCCCAATGGGCTGATATCAGCTGATACAGATCTTCAGCAGATACATCCAGGCATCGCTTAAAAACTACAAGTTGAAAAACAGAAGTAGAGGCTGAGGCTTTCTGATACAAATCTAGAAAATTCCCTCATAACATCATGAGTGTTACTTGTGACAGGGGGCGTATCCCTGAGTTGTTCAACATGACACTTTCATTATCTAAACTGAAACTATCACAAAACGCAAAACATAACTCTGCTACAGCACACAACTGTACCTATTCTCATCTTTCCCAGGGGGCGAACGTGAGAAAGAGTGTGAGTATATGCGTGTGTGTGTGTGTGTGTGTGTGTGTGTACACATGCTCACAGAACACGCTCTCAGCTCTCATGTTCCTGCTGCATGCGACATAATGCAGAGACAGATCAATACATGTGCTGCTATATGGCCCACAGACATGTGAGGGAGGGGGGCTGTCAGGGTAATTACTTTGTCCTCTGGGGGTGTATCACTCTCAAAGCCAACAGCCTAGATTTCAATGTGGGTCAATACACACACTCATATATACACACACACACACACACAAATGAGCGTCCAGTTGTTCCAGATGAAAGGCGATGGAAGTAAATCCAGGTCAAAACAGGAAGTGGAAAAGAGCCTGAATGCATCATGGACATTTCAGGGCAGAAATTAGTGACGGGTGATCGATTTGTCATTTTCTGTTGGCTCATACAGTGTTGATATGGTGCTCTTATGACATCGTCATTGACAGCTTTAGAGTAGAGTTTAAATATCATCCGGAGATTGTGTCCCTATTCTACCCTTAAGAGGTTATTTGCAAGCAGGGTGTGCACTGATTTCTCCCACCTTGTTCTACAAAAAAAAAAACTAAAGAATATCAAGAGAGGTGGCAAAAACAGATATCATTTTTACTTGGAAATCCATCAACAACAACAACAACAAGCTTCAGAGCTGTTTAAAGTCAACATGAGGGAATGTCATTCGTGGTTCTTACTTAAATCTCCATTTGACTAAAATGAAACAAAACCAAAGGTCCACACGTATTTTTCATTTGAAATCATGTTAAGAAATTTGATATCCTGTAACTTTTAACATGAGCAAATGCTTGAGGCAATTGTTCACAGTAACAAAAAAGAAAAAAAAGGGAACTTTTTTTATACTTTTTCTGAGATTTGTATCCTAAATATGACAAGTGCATTAATGGTAGGTTATACATGACAAGATATCACATCCAAGATGCAAGAATAATTCCCCGTATATTTCAATAAATGGATATTAAACGTCTAAATTCTTATGCCTATTGGTAGCTGTAGTTTTTGTTATTTATCTGTAATAAATATTTAAAAATGACAATGAGGCTCCTGTCACTGGGGGTTGCCAAAACGTTATGTAAATAAACCAGAATATTTGTTACCAAAATAAGAGATTTTGAGTCTCAGATATGCTCGGAGTGAGAGCATACGAGTGTCAGTTAAAAAGGGTCAAATGAAATATGATGTAAAATATTAAATGCATGTAGAGTCTGTCTGAATAACTCTGAAAGCTGTCGTTTCCTCTGTGTTGTCGTTTCACACACGCCACTGTTCAGTGCTCGTCCTGAGCGGCAGAAACAAATACAACGTCACGGAGTCCATTATCGGACAGAGCGACTGTTGTCCAATAATGACATTTTCAGTCAAATTTACCTGAAAATGGTGAATTCCGTCGTTTCAAGCCGACTCTCCGGAGCAGCCAGGCCCGCCGGATGCCCTCCTCCGCTTTATCCGCCCACTGAAGTAGCCAGAAACACAGCTCAATGTGTTCGGTCCCAAAACACTCCGATAGAAAATAAATATCCTCCGAAACACACACTGAGATATGAGGGGTGTGAGGACGCAGGACTACAGACCGAACCCCCAAAATGTCGTTTGAGTGGCGGTGAACACAGTTTAAGGAGGCTGGAGGAGGATCTGCTTCCGACAGAGGAGACGGGAGGGGTGCAAGCTAGCTGCTGTCAAGTTTCATATTGTTATCGAAGATGTAACATCCGGTAATATTTCAAAATAAAACAGTTCTAACCTAGTAGACGACGTTTTCCATCAAAATATTACAAAATAAAAGCGCAAGTTATTGTTCCCGCAGCCTCCGCAGCAGGAGAATTATGGTGAAAATTATATATTGTTTCACAATAGTGTCAAGACAGTATTTCCAGGTGTTCATGTGTATTCATACATGTATTGCAAACAAAATTCTTATTATTATTATTTTCAACAGTAGGCTATAGTTAACATCGATAGAAAAAAATGTAGTTTCAATTCAAAACCCTAAACATAAACATTCGAGTTTAAATATATTTTTTATTAATGCGAATTAATTAAAAATAACCATAAACCAGGGTTTTAAATGCCTGTAATTGTCTTGCATAAAACATCTTATAGCCTAATCATTTTAAGCGAAAAATACATTTTTAAAACATTAATTTAAAATGATCCTTGGCATTACACATTTCCTTGCTTTTAACGATTTTATACAAACGCAGACAAAAAAGGAGAGTGGCTTTAAATTGGACAGACATCGACAAGAACAACTGTTTTTTGGTTCTTTGCCGCCACCTGCTGGATGAACCAAGCAGCCACCATATGTGACCAAACCTGTGAATTAAACATTGCTGAGACATATTTAATTAAAGGTTAAGACAACTATTGAAATAATATATTTCCAAGAACCTCTCTGGTCTCAACCATCTTTTTGTTTCTATTGGAGCAGGTGAATGAACCAAGTCATTCTTCTTCTCGCAACCATTTACAATTTAGGTAAATATCATGAATTAGCTAGTGTGTTTTGAGACTCAAAGATTAAAAAAAAAACAATATTTCCATTAAAAGTATCGCAATATTGTAACTCTGAGAAAAATAATTTCCATAAAGACAGCAACAATAAACATAAAGGAAATTATGAGGAATAACCTCATAATAGTAATATTTTTTCAAAACAAAATGTAGGCTAATCCAGTTGGGAATGTGTGTGTCATAGTGGTGAATTAACACTAATATAGCCTACTTAATGGTGATATATCTCATTTGATATGCCTAGACACATAGGTTAATATAAGCTATGCTATTCTTTCATTTTTCTTTTAAAATCCTTGTCATGCAGTACAAGAGGTTTTCTTCACATTGGATTGTTAAAATGTGGGGAAACATTATGCATGAATGATGTTTTTTCCTCTTTAGAGTCATGTTGACCTGCATAAGGAACAGCCAGCTGTGATGTATGTGATCCTCTTGTGGGTGTGTTTTTGTGCTCTTTGCCCCACTAGTCAGTCAGACCCTCTTTAATGCACTTCAACGTGTTGCCTGGGCTCATACACCTGGATACCACCTGACTGCAAAATGTCTCGGGCTGCTGAAAGACTCAGACTGCTGATCAGTCATCTTGATCGATCACCCGATCACATTGTATCCTTTTTGTTTTCCATGTTGTATCATCCGGGCTCCACAGAGCGGAAGAGGCTGATCCGCTAGCCGACCGATGCGCACTCAGCGTCGGACCTCTCCGGTGTGCTAGTCCGGGGTCCTGCGGTCGACAGCAGGCCCCGAGGAAAGTATAGATCAATACAGGACTAAATTATAGCTCAGCAAAGTACTTATTCATGTTGCATTAAGGTCAATGAATGTATTTGAAGTCACAGGTTTAGCAACAATAACACCCTTATTTTTGAGCCGACGTTGCCGCCGCCATGTTTTTCTGTGACGTCATAACATAGTATAGAAAAAGGTTTTGAGTCGAGCAAACAAAGAGTGTTACAAAACTTAAAAAACATTAAATGTCAAATGTAGTCCAGTCTTGTATAGGTCAGGCCAAAAAACAAACCATACATGCGTTGTAAGTCTTGTGCAGAGTTAATATGTTTCTTAATATGCAACGTTTGAATGTCTTGTTTTATAGATTTTCTTGTTTTACATTTGAGTTTTCATGTCTTTCTGTGTGTTTCCTTGACTATTCTTTCTTCTTCAGAAAGCCGCACCAACTTCTGCTCTAAGTGTCTCCTACAGTCACCCACAGAGGTTGAGGTAGGGACACACCTGTAAGGCGACACGGTTCATTCCAACACAGCATTTGGCAGACTCATCTGTTGTCTCGGGCTCTAGTTTTTTTTTCCCTCCGCCGCAATTATACAATCAATATTGAGCACTCACCTCTGACACAGTTCACCCACTGCTGCCTTCCATCACATCCACACTGACCCACTTTCCTGCTCCAGAGCAGCCGATGTACTTGGTTCTACTCCTGCATATTAAAACAAGTCCCAATTCATTGAAATGTATTTTGTTTGTAATGGGACCATGAATAATATTAAACATAACTTTTGATGCTTTTAGATCTTGTTCAGGCGGCCTCCATGACTCCTGTTGGCAGCATTTTTCTGTGCTGTTTTGAAGAGCAAAGTTCCAGATAGATAACTCTCACATGTCCAGTTTGCTATCACGACAGGGTTTAATAACTCTTCTTCTCTTAGCCGGCCTCTGGACTTCACTCTTAAACCCAGTATGACTTCAATGCATTGTTTACATGTACACTGACTATGAGTATTTCTTTCCAGTCTTTCCTCTGTGGATTTACACCAAAGTAGCTTTTTGATGATTTAGTGTGTGTTGTTTCTTCTTTTGATAGGTACACTGTCGATAATGATCTGCTGACCCCCGAGCAGCGACTCTCCTATGAGGAGAATGGCTTCATCCTCATCAAGAATCTGGTGTCTGAAGAGGATATCGACGGGTTCAAGTGAGCATCAGAAAGTCTTACAACTGCAAACAGGAAAGAAAAAACTTCAAACCAGTGTACGAGCATGAAAACCTCACGTTTAATAACAGTGACTGAACCTGAAGACTTCTAAAAATGGGGAGAGGGAGACACCCTTTATTTGTCAAAACTTATTTAAAAAGTGAAAGAGACATTTATTAGAAGTTTTATGGTAACAGAGTTTCTGTGTGTGTGTGTGTGTGTGTGTGTGTGTGTGTGTGTGTGTGTGTGATTGGTCAACAGGAAGGAGTTTGAACGGATCTCCCGACAGGAAGTGAAGGTCCCAGGTCTGGTGGTAATGAGGGACGTGGCGATCGCTAAGTCAGAATATGTTCCGGATCAGAAAGCAGTCTCCAAACTCCAAGACTTCCAGGAGGATCCTGAGCTGTTCCGGTATTGCGCCTTACCTGAGGTACGCCACACATTTGCAACCTGTTGCTAAAAACTTCATTCAGTTAACGATTGGAAAAGCAGTGTACTAGATTAAACACAAAGGTATCATTTGGTATTTGATAAACAGGTTTTAAAGCCACTTTCTTTTGGCTTTGGCGCCCTCTAGTTGTAATACAAAAAAACTACATGAACCGAGAGACACAGGCCTCGTTACATAAACTGAACTAATTACTACAAGAACTCATGCTAACAGCAGTGGCAGTTCTAGAGTCTGTTCGGCCCCTTGGCAAAAATTCATTGGGGCCCCCTCCAACCTGCTTTTCAAAGGGGAGGGAGTGCTGTCAGATGGGGCCCCCTTTAGGGAGGTATCCTACTGTCATTGCAAACTTTGCACATTTTGAGCCACTGCTGTGGTTTAAAGTTTATCAGCCCTTGGGGGGCCCCCTACTGTTCTGGGGCCCCAAGCAGTTGCCTGCCTTGCCTGTTGACAAACAGCACCTCTGGCTAACAGGAAACATTTTTCTTCAGTTTTTTGTCTTTTCAAAAAGTGAATTCAGGTTTAAACAGCTACACCCTGAATGCTTAAAGATGTATCTTTCTGTGACAGATTCTGAAGTACGTGGAGTGTTTTACTGGACCCAACATCATGGCTATGCACACAATGCTGATCAACAAGCCCCCCGATGCAGGTATGGTGCACTTAAATAATACATGCAATTAAAACTGGCATGCCCATTGCTGCAGAATACTCTAGACCCAAGTCAGAGACCTCTATATTTGGGAATTAAAGGATACATTTCCCCCTTCAAAATAAAAGGGAGTTTGGAAATCCTTATCAAGTTTTGTAAGTCAGGTTTTAAAGAACATTTTTTGTCTCCTGCTGTTTCAGGTAAGAAGACATCTCGTCACCCGATGCACCAGGACCTGCATTACTTCCCATTCCGCCCGGCTGATAGGATCATCTGCTCTTGGACTGCGATGGAAAGAGTAAACAGGCAGAACGGCTGCCTGGTCGTCCTGCCGGGAACCCACACTGGCACCCTGCAGGAGCACGACTACCCCGAGTGGGAGGTAGAAACACACACAAACACACACATAATTCTACAGGTACGCAGACATACAGGGAATTAACTTTGGTCTTGTGTCGTCAGGGTGGCGTCAACAAGATGTACCATGGAGTGCGTGGCTATGACCCACAGCACCCTAGGGTGCACTTGGAGATGGAGAAAGGTGATACTGTCTTCTTCCATCCTCTGCTGATCCATGGCTCTGGCATGAACCAGACACAGGGTTTCCGCAAGGTACCAGACTACCCATAATACACCTGGACCTCATGCATATACAAACAGGTGTCACATGGTAATAATAGATACAGCATTTAAATAGTGTTGTACTGTGTGTGTGTGTGTGTGTGCAGGCCATCTCCTGCCACTATGCCAGCGCTGACTGCTATTACATTGACGTGAAGGGAACAACGCAGGAGAACATAGAGAAGGAGGTGCAGGAGATCGCTGCCAGAAAGTATGCTTTGGGCCAAATCAGCTTCGAGGTGAGACGTTCAAATGAAAACACAGAATGACAGTAGAGACCTGAAAGTGTTTGAATCACCTCTAGATTATTATTATTTTCGATTCTTTTTGCACAAAATCTTGTATGACTACATTTCAGTCAGAGTAAACAGTAGCAGACGAATGAGAACGAAAGAGTGTGTAGATCGTTCATAGAAGGGCTCGACCGATACAGGATTTTTTTTTTAGGGCCGATATCGATATCAAGGAGGAGGAAAAAATCAGATACCGATATATCGGCCGGTATCTTTCTTAGATCTGTTTATTGCGTTGATCCCTCAAATGCGTGCGTCATCGCTTGAAACTCTGGAGAGCGACGATGCTTTTTGTAATCCATATAGCGCCCTCTGCTGGTGAAGGAGAACGACTACTTTAATACAATGAAACTCTAATAAATGCTTTTTGACTGCTGAATAAATCTAGTAATATCAGCGCATATCTGCAATAAAAATTTGCCAATGCCAATAGTCACTGGATATGCTAATATCAGTCGATATTATCAGCTGGCCAATTAATCAGTCGGGCTGTGGTTAATAGTTTACTAGTACTCTTTAGATTTGTCCGTTGTTATGAGTAGGAGTGGGACAAAATATAGATACAGCAGTATATTGTCATACGTTGCCTGAGTTGTGCAATACAATTATCGAATTGGTGGTGCCAAATATCAAACGGAGAGAAAGTGTTCGCTGTGTGATCTGGGTGAGGTAGAAAATGAAATGCTCTTTCTGTTCTACTGTCCATTGTATCATTATCTGAGATGTCGGCTGTTCTGTAAAATATCTGAAGACAGTCCAGATTAGTTTTCTTTGTCAGATGAAGACAGACAAGGACAAGGTGTTTCAGCCTGCTCACTATGTGGTTAATGCATTTGAACGGGGCAGGAGGACACTTACTGTTTGATTCATTGTAGTTACTGTAGGCGCTTAAAGAAGTAACCATCACCAAACTGAAGTTCTGGTAAAGGCTTCGCTGTATTTAGCGATTGAAATAGTGTCACGGCTGCTGTGAAAGGCGTTGAAATTGCCCAAAGCTTGAAGAGTATCTCAATACCCTCGGTTTTTTTTTGTGGTTGTCAGGTGGTGTAAGAATGAAAAAAAAACAGCTATGTAGTGTCTTCAATGGTCTCAGCCACTTTCCTAAACTCTTTATTTTTTTGCCCTCAAAGCCTCCACGCGGGTCACATGACATAGATCTATGAATATGAGGTGATGCTTGTTGTCTCAGCTCGGATCTTGTTTCCATTGGCAAATACACACTTTAAAGTTTAGAGCGATGAGCGAGCGGAGATAAGGGCTCAACATTTAAACGATTAGGAATCAAAAGCCAGACGTTAGCGATATATTACAGGATGTGTAATCCTCTGATTGGGCTAGGTAGCACTCAACATGTGATCCAGTCAGCGTGGGGGCATTTGTTTCCATGATTCCAGGATGCACTCTCAGTGAGCCACATGATGATAACAGCAGCATCAGTAGACAGCACTAACAGGACGGTGTGCTTTAAATAGCCTGCTAAGTGCCCTATTGAGACATCCAAACATCTAAACAGATATTCCAGTCTAAGATCATAGCTGGCAGAACAGCTATTTATAAAACAGACAAATTACAGCAGCATGCTTTATCTCTAATTAAGTAGAATACCAAAACACAACTTGCTGTCTTGTTGTTGTTTACAAGCTGAAGATGTGTTTCGAGAACTGTAGAATCCCTTTGTTATTATTTCTGCATCATGAGCTACATATAGGCTGCAGTGAGCCGCTGCAAAGCAAGCATGAAGCCTGAAAGGGATCATAGCAGAAAGATAGTAGCATGTGGTCGTTGTTGCATGTCATTATCATGCATGTGACTGAAACCGAGCCCAACAAGCGTGTCAAGTTGATTCATATTTTGGAATCACTTAGATGTAATTTGGCTATGAGAGAATGTAAAACAGCAATAATACAGCGGGGAAATCTGGTCAGATGAGTGGGTATAGCAGCATCCATTACTTAGGTTTTATTGTGGCGGTGGAGATTGAAGAATGCCGCACTGAGACCCGTCACTGCGAGTTGTTCATATGAAAATAAAATCAAAGTCCAGATAAATTCTAAAAACTGAAGAGGGACAAAAAATATTCTAAGTAAGCAAAAGTCCAAAAGATGATGGTGACAGTCAACAAAAAATATTCAAACCCACTCACCATCTTTGTCTACGTCCCTCCACACAACTTAACAGGTAACATAAGGTAACACCACGCCCACTGCTAATGACTGGAAATGGCATCAAACCCAAATAAGGAGTGAAACATAAACCATCAACAGAGGTTAAAATACACATCATGGCTCCTACAGATTATCAGTTCAGGACATCGCATCTTAATTACATGGTAGAGAAAGACAATTTAAATACGTTACAGATTATTTTCTAATTTTTTTGATTGTTGTTGTTGCTGGACTAACCCTTTCAAATTGTCCCCCGCAGGATACGTGGGCTTTCAGAGGCCGCCTGGTGCAAGGAGAGAGGATTTCACTGTAATGACACCCACAGGCCTGATACAAACTGAATCTACGCTGCAGCAGGACCGATCACTACGCCGAGAACAGACTGATGGTGATTAAAGAGGAAGCAGTAGGGTAACTACGACCAGCACAGAGAGGGTTCAATGCATCCATAGAGTACCCGGGAAATCATTTCAAAGCCAAAAGGGCTTGTTGTCTAATTCTCCTGAATCACCTACAGTTTTAAATGTAGTTATGCTATTTTTAGTTGAATTGCTGTACTTTTAATTGACGTCGATAAGTTTATGTTCACTGTAACGTGTCCAGAATTTAATCCAAAACATCTTCAATAGAAAGATCTTGTAAGAAATTATCAGAGTCCTTCATGAGAAGAATCAGGATGTTAAGTACCTTACATTCAGGATTCCTTCAACTGCTCGCTTTACAACATTTTAAAGCACTAAAAAAATCTAATTAGAGCCCGACCGATAAATCCACTAGCTGATAGCAGCTGATATTAGCGTATCAAGTGACTATCGGTATTGGCTAATTTTATCGCAGATGTGCGCCGATATTACTGCATTTATTTACCAGTCTAATAGCATTTCATTTGAGTTTCATTGTATTACACTAGCAGTTCTCTGTCACCATCAGAGGGCCTTATATGGATTACAACAAGCATCATCAATCTCCAGAGTTTCAAGCGGTGACGCACGTACATGGGCAGTCACTTGTATCTTTTCCACAAGTGCTTGGTAACCACATTAAAAAGATAAACGCAATAAATGTTAATACCTATATCTATCTCTAAAGATTGAACATAGATCAAAGAAATATCGGCAGATTTATCAGATTTTTTTCTCTTCCTATTATCGGTATCGGCCCAAAAATCCCATATCGGTTGGGCCCTAGCATTCATAGCACTTAAGAATAAAAGAATATCATGAATGCATCCTGAAATGTTTATCAAGCTGTTTAATAAAAATGGAAATTAAAGGGATGTTAATTTTAAAGGCAGGCTAGCTAACAGGACATGAAATGTTGATAAAGAAAAGTGATCGTGTTTGTGTGAGAGGTAGAGCAAAGTGAAAAAGAGAGTAATGAAAGCAATATGTGAGAACGATGATGTGAAGAATCAGGGTTGATTGCAGCTCTAACTGAGGCCTTTTCCTGATACTGCCTTATAACGTTTTCAGTGTGTTAACTTAATGTTCTGTAGATTTCTTGACGATGAGTGAATGTTTTATAGAATCAAGCTGTGATGAATGAAATGTTGAATTAGCATTAATAATAAAATTAAAAAACGGCATAATGAGATTTTGTTTAGATTTTTTAAGCTACGAGACAGACATTGAAATACAAGTCTACAGAATGAATGAGATGCTGATTAAAGGGTCTAAGCAAAATTCACTGGGGGCCCCTCCAACCAGCATTCACTGCCATTATGTCAATTATCTGACACCAACGGCAACTTTAAGTGTCACATTTGAGTTTTCACAGGGACATTGAGTGCTGTCAGTTGGGGCCCCCTTAGGGAGGTTTTCTACTGTCATTATAAAATGTGCACATCCCCCTACTGGTCTAGGGCCCCAAGCAGTTGCCTGCCTTGCCTGTTGACACGCAGCGCCTCTGCTTGGAACTTAAAAGTAAACTGTTCATCGAGCCATATGACAAGATATTTATACTCAGTGACTCTCTCAGTTTCTGAGCCGTTTAAAGAAGATATGTGTACACATAAATCAATATGTTTGGCTCTGGAGAGTAGTCATAATCACAGTAATGACTTGGGGAAAATAGCCTGGCAGAGGTGGTCTTGACTGGTCTTTGTTTAAAATCTGGAGTCAGTCTGAGACCCAGAGAAAAATGCTTTCGATTCTGAGACTTTCAAAAAGTTGTCTTAAGACTGAGACTGATTTTGAGTACTACAACACCAGCTTGTGTTGTTTTACCCTAACAATATGGCTCAAAATCATGCTTGGTTACCAGTATCTTTTAGGATATTTTAATTTCTTTAATGAGGGCAAATAATTTATTTTCAATTCATACGTTTTACAAAAGTGACAATGAAAGGAGAAATAAAGCACATTACTCTGTGGATAAAACATTTTGAGCTGCCAACCTTGAGCGTGACTACAGAGGACAACAACCTTTACTTTAATATGGTGAATTATGTAACCAGGGAGAACAAGCCTTAAACACAAAGGATTATGGGACGAAGATCCATTATGTCCAGAAAAATTGGCTGAACAAAACAATGTCACAACAGATAAGAGTGTACTTATCCGCATTCTTACTGTCTTAAAACGCAATGACTCAGATTTGTTTTCAACCTCAACAATAACAGGTTATTGTCCAGTAAACAAGCTGCTCGAAAGCCAGGTGCAATATGTTGAAGCCGAGTGTTGCCTGGAACTGCACCTCATTATCCACACAGGTCAAATTCAAAGACATAAAAAGCTAACTCCTCTATATTTATGACTCGCTATTCGTCACCTGACTTTGCCTTCTTACTGAGGAAACTGCTCAACACAGACCGACATTTGAACAGTCTCATGTTGGTCTCAGATGTTTGGTTGTTTTTTAGACGGGGGCCCTGCTATTTCCTGGGTCCACCCCCCCAAATAAAAACAAAAAAACCAAAACAACAGATCCTGTACACAGTGTCTTTGTTCAAACCCAGAGGGAAGCTCTGAGCTCATAGTTTCATTCAGAATCAGAACAGCAGGAAATTCATTGACATGCAGGAGGACTAAGATGAAGAGGCTTACACACACACACACACACACACACACACACACACACACACACACACACACACACACACACACACACACACACACACACACACACACACACACACACACTGAACTGAGGAATATTTGCATAGATACACTCACATGTGCACAAACATGCACAGCCAACATAAAAAAAAACATAGATTTATGAAAGCACCTTTGTTCATGCACACATGCACATTAACATAAAAGCACAATTTCACACATCAAATAGTTCCGCACACAGCCACCTAACTGCAGGATCATGCTGCCAAATGCTTCCCAGACCGCAGATCTGTTGTTCATTTTCGGAGCGGCTCGGCCGTTCACCCTGCCCAGTTTCCTACAAAGGAAGCTGCAAACGCTTTTTCCTGCTTCTGACACCGTTAGAGGAAAAAAAAAATCCAGAGCAACTGGTTCGGTTCAAGTCAGTGCAATAAGCTTTGTATACTAAATAGTGAGCTCATTCATACCTGGGATGATAATGAATGGGTCCAGCACAGCATCAAGATGTTAACACCTGCACACACTCTGCCTGCGAGGGAAATATACACCATTCATTAAGGAAGGCAACGATGCACAAACGAGTAAATCATGAAAGGTAACACAAGGCATACAGCGTCATTTCTCAGCACAGCTTGTCAACTTCTGTTATTAATAGTGTTTCAATGATAGCAACATAGCATCTCTTCCTATCATTTTATAGATATGTTGCATCTTGTTTGGGCATTAAGGGCTGATCTCAGCTTTAAACTTTGGAAAGCAGGCTGACATCATGCCTCATTTACAGTTTGATATTGGTGAACTTAGCCAAGCAAACTTCTGTTTAACAAATGCTGTAAACAAATTAGATCCCGACAAACTCTTCATGTGGAAATCAAAGCTGTATGAACTTCACCCCCATACACTAAGGTCTATTGACCTCAGGGATTAATCTCTATTAATGATTGACTTGTAGTGAGAGATGTGTCCTCGTTTTTGTCAGTTCATCCAACCATACTTGACAGCATTGAATCCATTTGAATATATTTAGTAAAGAGATCAATCTTAAAAGAGCAATATGTAACTCATAACCCGGCTCTTGGGTCATGGTAAAAGATGGGATGAGTCAGAAGTTGTCAAATAGAATGAACAATATATTACAAAATGTGTACATTAATTATCAATAACAAGGTGTTGAAGAGTGCACTCACATAAATAACTAAAGCAACAACAAACGTCGGTCAGGCTGAGGGCCAGAGAGTCAGAGAGTGAAGGAGGGAAACCAGCAGATCTTTTTAGACAAGGGCGCACCAGGTCCAGGTGCAGCTGATCCTGCCGATGAGCCTCCAGGAAGGACACACCCCCTGCAGGAATCACAAAGATAGACAACAGCAGCAAGCCAAAGACACCCAGTGGTCTGGTGACAGGGTTGTCACACGTTTAAAATGAGTACTGCAGTCCAAATTAAAACCACTGGAGAGAGCAGTCTCCCCCCACCCCTAACTTCCTAGAGTCAATGAGCACAAAGGTTGCCATGTGGTGGACACTGAAGCTTCAGTGTTTATCCAGCTCTGCATCGGTCTTGAAAACTTTCTGTGTTCTAACCTCTCTCCATTTTTCAAAAGCTTCCCAAATATTTATCCAAGTTTTACCACATTTCTGGTCATGGAGCTTATAAGAAAAATGCAGAGGCTTTTTAAGTTGGGTGGAATCAGTTTCATCTGAACCAGTTGATTTCATTGCTGCAGCACCTGTGGGTTTGCTGTTTGCCTGGCAAACCGAGGGGCGAGGGGCAAAGGGACAGTGTAGGGTACCTTAAAACCGCCTACCTTCTCTGGTCATTACAAAAACAAACCATTCAGTATCCAGTGTGTCCTCCTCGTAAGTTTAGATTCCGGTCCAGAATGCTTTGTTTTTGTTTTGACCAGAGAAGTAGGCAGCATCCCCACATGGCCGTTTTGGATGCCCCTCAGTTTGCCTAGCAAATGGCAAACCAACATGGCAAATGGCATTTACCTAATAAGCTCCACGACCAGAAACGTGGTTAAACTAGAATAAATATTGGAGATGTTTGAAAAATGGAGAGGCATTAGAACAGAGAAAGGTTTCAAGACCAACACAGAGCTCGCTAAACACTGAAGCTGCCGTGTCTGCCACATGGCAACCTGCGTGCACATTGACTCTACGAAGAGGGAGCGGTGGGAGACAGCTCTCTTCAATGTTCTGAATTGTGAACTGCAGTACCCATTTTTAACGCTATGAGTCAGAGTTACATATTGCGCCTTTATGATTATGCAAATGAAAATCTCATGTTTGCTAACATATAAGCACATTACCTTGTAGAATGAAATGTGTGTGCTTTGAGGGAACAACTTGTCGTGAAGCCCATATGTGGCCTTGAAATCGGATGAAAAAAAAATACCTGAAGCTTGCAGTAATGTATATAAATTCAAAAATCTTATCACCAAATTAGTCCTCCAATTGCAGGATGTCTGGGTATCATATTTTGAATTGTTATAACCTTTTTCCAAACTGAGGCTGCTGATGCTTGTTGACATACTGTATTTCCACGTAAACCAAATCCTGATTTCCACTCTGCTGTCCTCCTCTTCTCCCCATCACTCCTCCTTTCCTCCTCGTTTTCTTCTTCATCTTCTCCCTTGGGACATTAACATTCCAGCTGTTTCCCTCCCGTCCCTGAGCCTTTTTTCTCTTTCTTTTCCTCCTCCTACTTTCCTCCGCTGTCCCTGCCTCTGCCACCTTCCTCCTTCATATTTCTCCCTTCTCTCGGCTCACTTCAGTTTGAGTTCGATGTTCTGCTGAATCCAGTATAGTACCTTCTTCTCTCTCTCTCTAACAAGATGTCCTGGACTCGAGTACTTGTGCTCTCTTTGATCTCCATCCTCCTCATCCTCACCTGTGAGTACCTTGTCTGGGTGGGTGGCGGGAGTGGGATATTATACATCCTCAGGGGAGATGAGGAAAGTTTGTGGCACTGACTTGTCCTGAAATCCTTTCACCTGTTGAATGTGATCTGTTTGAATGAATTTGAATCTGTTAGGACCTACTTTACACATTTTAAATATGTTTTAAAATATTAGTTTCATTATAAAATAGCACATTCATAAACTTATTTAGGGGTTAAATATGATTTTTTGTTCGTTTCCTTTAACTCTTGAATCCAAGATTAAATTATTGTTTAAGAGTTCAGTACTGGTGAACATTGTGTTTTCTAAAACATGGGCCAAGGAAACTTCTCTTTTTTTTTCAATTTAAAGCAATTAACCAAACCTGTAATTTCATTTAGAGATGTCCAAGAGTATTCCAGCCAGAATCTCAAAGGTCAGCTCTCACACATAGATTGTGTCAAGCTGTTTCCAAGGCCAACCAACGAGCACGGCCATGGTTTGATAAAAATGACACAAACAACTGAGGCTGTCATAGTTGTGACAAATGTCACTTTAGCAGCCGAGGCACTTCCTGTATTTCTTTACTTGTAAAACATATCCAATGCTGATCTGTTGTAGTTTTCTATGATTTGTATGATTTATGTATCAAATGATTGGATGCCGGTGTAGTGGTGCGCGCCCCATATACGAAGGCCAGGGGCCTCCAAAGGGGCGGACCAGGTTAGAATCCGACCTGTGGCTCCTTTCCTGATTTCTGACTTTATCCACTGTCTCATCTAAAAATAAAGGCCCAAAAAGCCCCAAAATGAACCTTAAAAAAACAACAACATGCAAATGATGAATGTATTAATTCCAGTCTGCAGGGACATGAGGTGGTGTGGTCCACTTACAGTAATAAAGTATATTTTTCCCCCTGTTATTTATGCTAAATATTCTTAAGTAAAAGGCTATTTACATTATTATTATTTTTTTAAATCCTGTATTAAAAAATGACTGGTCCACATTAACAAATCTGAGTGGGCAAACTGTTAGAAATACAACTTAACAACTCTTTACAAGTCATTTCTTAACAAATAGTTACAAAATCGTCTCATGCACATGTTACAGAAAGGACTTTAGAATTTCTACTTTTCCTTGAATTGTAGTTTCCAGTGTGGTGGAAAATGCTGCCGTCAGAGACGACTCAAAAGCAGACAATCAGAAAGGTGATACCTGTTTAAACACTTTGAATAAATGTTTACAAAACTTTGCTCCACCTGGCTTCCATCCTTAACATTCAAATATTGAACACTTTGACTTTAAGGGGCCGCACCACAATTGTTCATGCCAGAGTCAGAAGCCTCCGACTTCTTCAAGCGACGCAGCCGCCGATCACCCCAATACTATGCCGAGTACCAAGGTAAGTTCTTCAATATCATGTTTAACGTGTCTGTTAAGAAAACAAGCAGCTGGCTGCAGTTATCCGCTAGTAAAAAATAGTTTTGAGTCGTCTGCGTAGAGAACAATCCATTAAGTAGATTCTCAGTGAAGTGGTTAGCATTTGGTTGGAATAAGGGATTTAAATGCTTCAGTGTTGCTTGAGTGGTTGATGTAGCCACATGTGGCCAAATTGCTGACAGTCTAAATTTTGGCATGTTTGGCCTTCCGTACAACAGCTACATGTGAGTGCATGTGGGAGTGTTGGTTTTATTGGTTTGTAGTTGGACTCTGAAGATGCTTTGGGTTTGAGGTTTTGACTGCAAGCTGTGAAAGTTCAAGAGAGAAATTAGAGAGATAAAGTCATGGAAACTCAAGCAGGTGCTGCTCTCTATACAGTAGCAGCTCTTAAACTTCACACACACACACACGCACGCACGCACACACGCACACACACACACGCACACACACACACACACACAGAAGCTGGAGGCTACACAAGGAGTCACAGGGTAGTATGGAGCAGGCTCTCCCAAGCTCAGTTTCTCGGTACAAAAAGCTCATTCTTCTAAAGCCAGCATCGGTACAATCCAATCCACATGGGTAAATCAAAAGGAACAAAAACACCTGTGAAGTGTGTTCAAGACTTGTTTTCATACTCATGAAATAACATGTGTTTCCTTTAAAACTTACATTTACTTAAGTATATAAAATCAAATTTGCAGGAACTTCTTAAAAGTTAGTGACAACAGGGATCTGTATCTTTCAGTAGAGTACACTGTGGCATATTTAACTTTCCTGCCCATCAGAGCACCAAACAAGGCCCGGTGCTGGACAAACCTGTCCATATTCTTTGGGAAAAAAACCCTCTTAGAATCAGGCTGATTATGGGGTAAGGTTGCACCCTGAGAACCTGAGGAGGAAGCCATGTGCATTTGTGAGGACGTAATTTTGCCAGAAAGGCGATGCACAAAAGATGCATGATTCTGGGTCTCCATGCAAACGAACGATTATTCCGTGGCTGAATTTTATTTATGATAACCATACCATAATTGGGTCATCTTCGGAAAAGCTTGCTACCCTACGTCAGCCAGTTTGATTGAAACAGCGTAACATAAACAGAAGGAAAAAAATCACACACTGCTCAAAAGTCCTCAAATCTGATTTGTGAAATATTTTCAGCAGATGTTGAATGATTGCATAACCATGTATGACTTCAGATCGTTTTTCTATAAAGCAACGGTTGTCCTTCAGAAACATATTTTGGTTTCCTTTACCTCATGATTGATTAAAGAGAAATGGTCAGCAGAGACAAAAAGGGCGTACATTTTACAATATTTCATAAACTTTGCAAGAAAAGTATTTTTTTAGTGAGTTTTATAATAAAACTGATGCATACCTGTAGCTCATTTCAAGATAAGCTGATGATGCTAAAATAAAACACCCCACGCACGCACGCACTGCACTGCACTGCACGCACGCACGCACGCACTGCACGCACGCACTGCACGCACGCACGCACGCACGCACGCACGCACGCACGCACGCACGCACGCACGCACGCACGCACAGTGTGAAATTGAATATCCCCTCACAGGATTAACAAAGTATTTCTTCTTATTCAATACCCAAAAAACTTTTCTATTGAAGGAGGGCCAGGATGAGTTTATACTTGAGATGAATTTGTGTCTGCATTTTAAAAAAGGAAAGGGAGAAACAGCAAAAAATACCTTAGTAACAGTAACAGCCGACTACTTGTACAGTCAAACATACATTGAAAGTAGAAAACAACTCAGGCTCAAATCACTGAGTGCATGCATGCCTGTGAGTAAACATGACATGTTGTGATGTAATCCTCACACACTATAATCCCTATATAAAGTTGCTAAATCCAGAAGCATCAACATTTGATGACTGGTTTGGAATCATTTGGGAAAGATTCAAAATGGAAAAGTTGGCTTACTCTATGGGGATCCAAAAAGACAAAACCTACCAAATTTGGAATACGTGGGTTGAATTTATGATCCCCAACATGGCCAACAAAAAAATGTACAAAATGTGACATCAATCCATCACAGTCTATCCCAACACACACAAAACCCCCCCTTTGTTTTTGGAGCAGCATCGGCTGCACCTACATCATCATCATTAGTAAGACATAGTGTGGTTATATGGATTACATTTTTCCTTCTGTCTGAGTTCTCCTCTCCCTTTTTTCTCCACTCAGCCGAGCAGAGGGTAAGGCTCACCAAAGACGAACAAAGGAGAGAGTACAATGAGGAGCAAAGGGATGAGTTTGAGAACTATGTCGAGGAGGAGCGTGATGGTAAGACGCACTGGGAAGTGAAATTGAGATTAGCAATGAATATCGCGCCCCTTTTCATGCCATTCACAGACGAATAAAAATGCAAACATCTAACATTTGAAACCAATTTGTTCTAAAAGAGACTGAATAAAACACTTAGATAAAGCACAGGCACTTTGCAGCAAGCTCATTCAGTAACTTTGCATCACGTCGTGAAGGCTAACCTTAATTGCTCCTTAAGAAAAACCCTTCCATATACTTGAATGTTAGTGCTCACGAGACGGAGCACTAGAAAGAACACACTGCGGAGAGACAGAGCTCTAGTTTGGATCTTGAATGGACTTCATGGCACCCACGAGCCTTTGGACCACAGCACAGTGCCTGAGACTCCACACCAAATCAAAGTGTCCATTTGTGGTCCACCCCAAACTGACAATCTCCCCTGTGGTCGTCTGTCCCGTGTGATATAGTGGCTGTGTTGGTTTCTAAATTGAGAACTGCTAACTATAAAGATGTGACTGGGTTTTATATAAAGAAGATAAGCCATGTTTTGGTGGTTTAGGTCAGTGGGTTGGTGCTGAAAGTAAAAAGTAAAGTCTCCATCATTTGCCTTGAAAGTAGACAAACATGAATCCAATATGGAGTCACTATTGTCAGCCTGAATGAGCTATTTTTATCACATAACTTAAAGTATATGTGGCATCAATCTTGTCGACTTATTTGAAAAGTTCACCATTAACATCTGCTGGTTGCTCATTTTGTCTGTCTGCTGTTTGGTTCAGCACTTGTAAGTATGAATTCCAACTGTAAACTGAAGCAATACCTTCCAGTGCAAATAAATATGAAATGATTGATGTAAATGCCACATTTAAGTAAGTCATCAAACAAGTTTTAGTTTCCAGTCTGCAGGTCCATGAGGTTGTTATGGTCAACTTACAGAAACAAACACGTTTTTTTTTTTTATATATATATTTAAGTAAAAGGCTTTTTACATTGTTTTTGAATAGAAAATAACAATTGAATGCATGTGTAAATCTTATATTAAAAAATGAGTGGTCCACATTCACAAATGAGTGGGCAAAATGTTTTTGCAAGCATTGCATTTACCTGAACTTTACTTACACAAACAAGGTTGATAGCTTTAAAATGAACCAAAGCAGTAAACTTGCATCATCGGATCGCTTCAGTGTTTTATAAGCATCGATCAGGACGATCGTGGTGTGCGCTGATATTGAAAGCTGTCTGCACACGGCTGTGCACACGGCACCCGATCGATCCTCAGTAAACTGGTCTGTTGGAATCAAAACAATTAGCTAAAAGACACAAAAACATCTACTGAGGGGAGCTGAGAAGTCGGAGCTAATCGCTTCCATAGACTGCGATTGACATTTAAGGACTATGTGACTATAAATATTAAATATTGATTAAAGACACTTATGTGTTTTTTTTATTTTTTTTATCTGTAGAGCAAAACGAGAGAACGAGTGAGAAGAACGAGCAGTACAGAGAGTATCACTACGACGGCCTCCATCCTCGCTACTACTGGTACCACTGAGCCGACTACAGTGAATCTGATTGGAGCATTTTGATTGGCCCATGTCTCCACGTTGTTGTTTATTTTTACTCTTATCTACAAGATAAATGTTTTCTTTCTTTTTTTTACACGTTTTATAAAAGCTAAATTGTGCAATGTGTCTCCTTATGAAACTGTAAAGTGTATTGAAGGTGCAGTTTTTGTATTCTAAACCACACGTTATTACATTACATGGAGACTATCCTGTATGTTTTGCATGTTTGTTTTCATTCACTTTTTTTTAAATATATGTACATACAAGCTATACAATGCTCTTTAGGTCAGCCTGAGACTAACAACTGGACATGTTTAGTAAAAATAAAGATGAGTTTCCTTAATCGCAGTCCACTGATGTGTTTCTACCCATCCGGGCTCCGTCTGGTATTTGAAGTATTTAAAAGAAAAGGGAGGCGGCGTGGAATAAAATAAAAAAAGGGAGAGAAGATGAGGTGAGCTGCAGAAGTCATCAGGCTGAAATGAATTCCACATACCAGAGTGGAAATATTAGACCAGAAGTGGGCAGAGAAGAGACAGAGGAGGTGGAGAGGGAGAGGTAATGAACAGGGTAATGAGCACAATTTAACTTAAATGATGTGCCATGAATCACATAGTTTCCAAAACAAGAGCTATAGTTCAAGGCTCTGCTGTGATTCCTCTTCAGACTTTTTCTTTTTCTTTTCAAGAGCGTGTGGATCGGCTCGCAGGCTTGAGTGAGAGCCACCTGGCTCCAACACTTATTATGGAAACACATGGAGGGTTTTTGTAAGGACTCTTGTGTCCTGATGCAGGAGACTGGTTCAGTCCTTATGAACACAATAAGTCTCTGCTGGATACACATGAAGAGTGGATAGGATTATTTGATGGAAGTTAAGCCAGGCCAATAATGCTGATGGAAGAAAGAAGTGCATACCAGTAGGTAGTATACTTTCTCTAAAAAAAAAATCATCACTCGTGCTCTATTGACTTTCACAGGACTTGGGATGATTTCACTAATTGTCTGAAGCATTTAAATGGGCTACATTTAAACTGATGAGTATTCAGCAGATTAATTCTACCCTTACATGCTTTGACTGACAACCTTTGAATTCATGTTCAACTTTTATTTGCTATGTGAACATGCATCCAAGAAAACTCAATAAAACAAGAAAAGAAATGGAATAGTTGTAAATGATTTCTTTATTCAGCTTGTTTCAAATATATCCAGATATTTAAATCTGCATAATCAACATCAAAACATCTCACTTTAAAAACATAATTCACACAGACGTAAAAAAAAAAAGCTACAATGACTCTTAAATTAATAAAACTACCCAGCTTCCCCCTCCACAATGCGTCGGTGTCGTCACTGCATGCTGTTGAGGAACCTCCCGTGCTCTTCTCCTCGAGGCAGAAGGAGCTCTCCTCCAATCTTTGGTCCGGTCTTCTCCTGCAAAAGCATAAAAAGAAAAGTCAGTTGTGTTCCTTTTTTCACAGCAGTAACATTTTAATTCAGAGAGAGATGTTACCTTCAGCATCCCGTCACGCTCCCATTTAAACAGGCCGCAGTTACTAAAAGGATAACAAATATTTTTAAAGGTTCATGGGGGGGGGGGATGAAACATGTGTGAGGAGGTGAGAAGAGACTGACCTGCAGTGTTTGTTGGGCAGCCTGTCCAAGGCGATGGCTCTCTGACCACAGGGACATTTAAAGAAACGCTTCATAGCGTCGTGCCAGTGCAGGTCATGCTTCTGCTCCACACAACGATCTGCCGGCTTGAAGTAGGTGTAACTACACTGCAAGAAAGGAAGCAAGGGAGAAAAAAAAAAAAACAGGTTACTCTTCCTACTTCTAACTGAGAGACAGTCGAGTGTGCTCACATTTCACACTCTCATATTCATACCTTTTTACAGGTGACAGCTCGACACTTCATCTCCCTGACGCCCTTCATCTTCTCCTCCATCTGCTCCTTCTTCACCAGAGGATCAAAGTAGCGCTCCTGCAGCTGATACTCCGCCTGAGAGGAGGGGAATTGAATGCATCGTCCTTTAATCACACACACACTTCACAATGATTTAGATAAAGCAGAAAAAAAAAACCAGGGAGGAAATTAGATCTTTCTTAAAATATGTATCAAAAATAATGAACAAAATATAGCAAGAAAAAAACAATCAAGACAATTAGATCCTGCTTAAAAATATAAATGAAAACTAAGGAACAAAATATAGCCAGAGAAAAGGTCTTGTAATATAAACGGCCACGCGTCATACCGCCTGCAGAACGGCCCCGTGACGAGATTTGGCATTGAGGATCTTCTGAAACTCATCCGATTGAACATAGTCGAGTTGTTCTCGCTTTTTCTTCTGAGCTGGTTCTTCCTCCTCTTGACCGGATTCACCTGCACAGTGAGTAGAAGGACAGGACATCACATTAAGTACGTGTCCTGAGATGTTAAATGCTCATCATCTTTCTTCTCCCCGTCTTGTGAACACACCCTTCGGTGAGGTGAGATTCTTCTCCACCCGGGCGTTGATCGTGCTGTCGTTACTCCTCTTCCTCTTCACAGCATTCGGGTCTTCTTTCTCCAGACCCTTCCCTTTGTTCCTCAGCCTTTTGAGAGCAGCCAGCTTGGCGGCTGATAGGCTGAGAGCGCTGGAGGCGGGCGCTGCCGGCGGACTGTTCTCAAAGAAGAGGATGTCGTCACCCTCCGAAAAGCCCCGGCCTAGTGTGGGTGTGTGTGGAGTCACAGGGCTTCGGGTGGCCTCAGAAGCTGCTTTGGGGGACAGCAGACCCCCTCTACCATGTGAGGATGATGATGATGATGATGATGCTGGTCTGGGTCTTGATCCTGCTGAGCTCTGCAGCACTCGATTTTGGATCTCCTCTGCCCGGCGCCTGCGGGTCTCCTGAAGCTCTCGCTGCATCTGTTTCTGCTGCTTCAGCAGGTCTGAGGCGGTGATGGACTGAACCGAGGCTCCACTCACATCTTTAGGGCCTGAGGAACAACAACATGTTATTCTTTTATTTCTTCACTTCTTAATCATTTCTGTATAAGGTGCAAACCCAGTTTCTCCTGTCTGACCCCTAGTATTTAGAGCCTAGAAAACAGCTCTAGTGACTGACTCACATTTTTCTGAACTGATTGTTTTAGTGAATGGACGGCGGTTCATCAGCACTTGGACTTTAAATATTGATTACTGTGAAATGTATACTTAATCCAATCAGGGATGAGCCATGAGACGGGAGGGCACATTAACAAATTAAATATTTCATTTTCAGCTTAAGTACGTCAGATGTTTCAAAATCTTGCACCTGATTGGCCGCCCTGCGTCAGGTGCCTCTTCAGCTGCAGAGCTCCGGGTGTCGGCATCGACAGCAGGCTCTTAAACTCTTTCGAACAACCGGACACTTCACCGGACTGCACAGCTGGAAAAAAATAAACACAGAAACAAAAAATACTTAAAAAGAGGAATCTTTTTTTTTTTTTTTTTTAAACATTAGGGCAATTCATGCACTTTTATTTCCCTTATTGTGGGACTTTTAATGTCTTTATTGTAGAGATAAGAGAGTGAACAGAGGGGAGAGAGAGAGTGGGGAACAACATGCCCTCTTGACTCAAACCCAGGCTGCCCGCCCAGAGGACCAACCACTAGCCCACAGACACCCCCATTTCCCTTTTATAGACCTAAGGATCAAGTAAAAGAAACATTTTGTTCCATTTCTTTCCTGTAGTACATTTTGTACAACAAACCTGACATATAGCAGGTGTAACACGATTAAAGGGACTGTTGGAAACCTTCATGGACTCTAGTGATGTCAGGTTTTGTTCAGGTGCGTGTGAAACATAAACTATCAGTCCTTACCCAGCTTCTTGATGTGCTGAGCCGAACCCTTAACGAACATCTTGTCCAACGTCTTCTGGCCCGGTTTGTTCGGTTTGGACGCCGTTCTGAAACACACAGACCTGTTAATGACACCGCTTGGATTCTGCCTACACACACACTCACAGCTTCTGGCTCTGTACCCTGCAATTAGTGCGTGCAAATTGATTTCAGAACGCATTGTGAAAAGTGCAAATAGAATTTCCAAACATATCCAAAATGGAGAGGAGAAAGGTTGTGACCTTTGTGTGAGCTTTTGTCTGCTACGGGAGTTTCTGGATATATTCACTAAGACTTAGACCGAGGGGCTTTTATTATTAATACATTTTCATATCACTCACATTGATGCAGCGCAAGCGGCTGAGGACACACCGCCGTAGTAGAATCCGTCCTGACACAGCCGCTCTCTCAGGCCGCCTCCGCCGCCAGCCTTCCCCTTCACTTTGTTGGGAGCTTTCCCAGAAAAAGACGACTGCAGATCGGCCCGCTTCGAGCTCATCTTCTTATACTGGGCCTTGACGTGGTACTGGCAGTACTGGCACTCGTACTGTTAAAACATGAAGCGCAGAGAAACAACGTTGAGATGTGACGGAGTGCTGGGAGAAACACAAAAAGGGTCACACAGCGGGAGAAGATGAACCCACCAAGTTGACGATCTGAGAGCAGGGGTCTCCGTTCTTCTTGGCGGCCTTGCAGGTCCCGTAGTCCTGAGCTTCACCCAACAGCAGAACCTTCTGCGCGTGATCCACAGTCAGGCTCACCTGCACGCAGTCAACACAAACTTTAAAGCCTCCACAAACATCTTTTCATTCATTGAAAAACAGCTTATTTTGCTGGTTTGATCATTTCCCAGGACCGTGTGCAGCGGGGCAGCTACAAAACAAACAAAACGTGTCAATCAAAATCACTCCCATTCATTGTGTATTCGGACTATTCCATTCGCTGCTCAAAGCATCCTGGGATATGTAGCCTCGCTGAAGGAGCTAGCAGCACCACTTTTTTAACATCTTTTCCCCCCCTCGTTATGTCAAGATTACCCACACGATGAAAAAAAAACCTAAATTCAACACAAGAGACCAGCAGAGGTCAGCGGCACAACTCTAGCCAAACTAAAGGCTTTCAGTGGGGAGGCTGAAGTGCAAAGAGGCGGGACATCGCTCCAAGAGGAAGCCGTGTGGCAAAGTCCAGAGCCATCCAGACCAAACTGAGTTCCCCCCGGTCTTTGGGGAGAAAGGTCGAGAGTCCTTTTTTGCACGACTCCGCCCAGCAAGGCTCCAAATCCACCGCAATACAAGCAGTCATCCTCACCGGCGAGCGTGCAGCCAGTCACAAAAAGCATGAAAGGCTGAGCAGGAGCAGAGTAAATCGTTGCTCTTGATTGGGCGGGACATACTGTACGTGTATGTTTTTATTATTGGTTAGAAATGTCTTCTTATCTTATCGTTATAAATTTCAGAACTAGCCCCGCCCACTTCACAGCCGACGTCTGAAAATGTTCAAGAATTTTAAAAAGTGACAACAGTGCTAACAGGTTAGCAGCAGCTCAGTATGGTTCAGCTAAACAGTGGAAGAGGTTCTACAGAGGGTCTGTGAGTTGTGTCCAAACTGTTGTTTTACTCCTCTGAGATTAGAGGCTCGGGGCTAAAAGTGCCCTCTGCGGGTGGTAACTGTGTGTGTGTGTGTGTGTGTGTGTGTGTGTGTGTGTGTGTGAGACTGTGTTTGCAGCTAGGCATAGCTTTGGCTTTCCTCGCCACATTCCTCTTTTAACGTCTCAGTTGGGTCGCTGGTGTCAGCATGGCATGGCAAACTATTTTTAAGCCACCAGACACCACCAGACTGTTTCTACTTTAATTGTTGAAAACCTTCACATCCAAACCAGCCAGTCAAATTACAACATAAAAAAACACACAGGGTTAGCACTTCACCACGACTGACACTCAACTTTCTCCCAACCTCATTTGACCCCACGTTAATCTCTCTGACCCTAAACTGGTTTATTTGACATTTTGCATTGAAGAGAGGGGAAATAACCAGCTCTGTTTAGATTACATAAAGAGATTTTTGGCTCACCCCATCGTATCCTTCTTTCTGCTTCATGGGGTTGGGGTTGAGGATGCCGATGACGGTGCCCGGCTCCGTCTTCCAGTGCTCTTTGTGGACTTCACCGAACAGGAGCAGAGACACAAACACCTCCAGGTTGTGGAGGTCGTTCAGTTTCCAGATGCTGAAGGTTTTGCCCTGCAGGGAGGAAGCGCTCAGTTAAAAAACAGAGAGAGCACACCGTGTTTCCAATGCAACAGAAGGTTTGTAAAATATGACTCAGATATTATAACCTCATCACTCTCATCAAACCAATCAAGATTTTACAAACTGCACTGACTGAGTAGCCATGACAACTATGTTAATGAAGAAACAAAGAACAGGTGTCACAGGGACTTAAACCTTTAAAAAAGGCTTTTTTAAAGAGTAACCTCTGGGCTTTTCTGCCTTTGTTTGATAGGACATTGGATAGAATAGGAAATTGTGGTGAGACAGGTTTTTATGACACGAGGGAAAAGAACCACAGGTTGGACTTGAACCCGGGAAGTGCATTTGGAGGACTAAAGTCTCCGTACATGGGGCACGATCCTTAATGCAGGGGCATGGGGCACTGATGGTCTTACTGCTAGGTCCCACAGAAGGGCTTTTTGACGGCGCCGGCCTCTCCAAGGCCTCTTCTATCCCATAAAAACCCCACCAGTTGCAAATACAACATTCTGTTTATGGATGCATTTAAGAAAAACTGTATATTCACAAGAAAAGGTTTGGAGTTGTCTGTATGTGTTTGTGTTAGATCCAGTATAAGATTGGAAGGATTCTTTATTGGAGCATGCTGCCCCTTTTTTAACCAAGAATTTACTAAAACCGAGGCCAATCGCTTTCTGGTGTCCTGCTAGATTAGGTTATTTATCTATTTGACAGGTTTGTTTTCTCTGACATACTCAGTGTTTGTTTGTAAATGTAATTATGGTCTGGGTGAACTGTGAGACTGAATTGCCCCCTGGGTTAAATCAAGTTTTCAAAGTCTTTCATTTGGAGGTTTGAGCATACACTTACACTGCTGCTGCTTTGCGGCGTGACCTTGTTGACCAGCACTGCAAACGTCACCCAGTCACTGTCCTCCAGCTTCTCTCGAGTCAGACGCTCCGGCACCTGTGACAGGCGTATAAGACGGCGGTCAGCCATCTTGCGGTCCATCTCACTGGAGGAAACCCGAGGTTTTCTGAAACACCAAACGAGCCCAAAGTCAGACAGAAAAGCCTAACATTCAAAACCAGCTGATTTTCATCAACTGATCCGTCAGTGTTTCTTTAATTTCAGTGTTTTCACCTGAGCCGCAGTCCTGAGTATTTCTCCACAGCTACATCTTTAGGAAGAGGAGGGAGAGAGGAATGCTGTCCTGCTGAAGCAGCTGGAGAAGCTCTGCTCTGGGAGGCGGGAGGTGACCGCAGAGGGTTTGTGACCTTGCTGGTGCTCTCTACTGGCTGGAAGGAGCTGCCGATCTTGATCTCCACCAGAGGCCCTCTCTCTTCTGGTGAGAGACCAGAGAAGATAACACGCTCATACCTTTGTAGACAGTTCTCTTAATGCTGTTAAGACTGCGTGAGTGTAAGTCCTACCTGGTGACGTGCTGAGCTTGGCAGCGTGAGCCACCCTGGGTTTGCGTTTGAAGGAGTCAGCATTACTAAGCTGGTCTAGAAAGTCAGAGGACTCGTGGAGCTGCAGTCCTGCTCCTCTTTCTGGAGGGGATGAAGATGCTGCTGCTGTCACAACGAAGACGAGGGAAACCAAAGATCAATCAACTTACAACTTTCTTTTGTTTTACACAGATACACAGACGAGAGTACGGGAAAACACTCATTGCTGGCATTTTCTATCTTTGACAGGCACTCAAAGCTAAAACGACCCTGTCCATATTTTTTATACTACAAAACAGTTGTCGATCACAGATACCTCATAAAGCACTAAAGGATGTATCTAAGACATTTCTATTACAGGTTTCTTATTGGCTGTTCTGGCCGCTTGCTCTAAGCTAACTTTAAAAAAAAAAAAAAACCACTTTGCTTGGTTGATCTTTTTATTTCTAGGAATTATAAATCTTGTGGTTTTAGAAATCTAAAAAGGGGCAACCGTCTGGAACCAAAAGTATAAATCCACACTCTGCTTTCTTCTTTTTTTATGCTAATTAATAATGATTAAGTATTTATAATTTCATTCCAAATGTTTCCATGCTACGAAGAAACCAAACGTACCTGCTTGTGTTTTTGTCTTCTGTGTGGACGTCGCTGGTTTGGTCTGAGCCAGTTTGGAGGTTTTTAAATTGGGGGTCACTGGTTTAGGACTCGCAGAACTCCCCTTTTTAGTGACTGGACTGACGGACGAACTCTTCTGGCTCGCCTCAAGCTGCTGCTGCAACCGCTGCATCTGCTCCTGCATGCGCTTCAGCTCGCCTAAGAAAGGAAGAAATAAACTCCGGAGGTAAACACATACCCAACACGTCAGGCTGACATAACAAAAGGTTAGAGCAGACTGCATCATCACAAACCTTGTAGGTCCTCCTTAGACCTGTCCAGGCTCTCACACTTTCCCCCTTCACCCTCCTTCTCTTTCGCGTCTTCATTTTCAATGTCGTCGACGTCGCCAAAGAGCTCAGACACCGAGTCACCTTCCCCCAAGTCGCTCCCTTCCTCTGCGCCCTCTTTGTACTCTTCCCCTTCGTTGTTGTCATCATCAAACAGGCCGTCCAAGTCGTCTTCCTGCTCCTGGTCGTCTTTAACACCTTCGCTCTCAGCCAGCAGCGCTGTCAAAACGTCCAGATCATCCTCACCTGGAGAGAGGAGATGTACGATTACATATTTGCAAACCTAATTTTTAAAAGTACATCCTGAATTTATTCGTAAAAACACAAAACTTACTGTCCATTTTTGAGATGTTAACTTTGCAGCTGATTTCAGATCCCCTGGTGACCCACAAGGAGTGAAATGATTATATTATTCTGTGGAAAGAAAGAAAGAATTACTTGACAGATGTTTTCCCTGAGCGATAGTAGCACACATCCAAACAGATGTTTGCTGAAATTATAGAACAAACTATATGATTTTAAGAGCATGCGCTTGGTACAAAGCTGTATTTCTTTAACCCTCTTTCTTGTTCTTATTTCTTTATTTAGTACTTACATTCCTTATTTTATTCATATTTCTATAACTATATTTGTACTGCTATATTGTGTGTAAGAGAAACTGCAATACTGAATGGGGATTAATAAAGTAGTTTATTTATTAATTTAAAATAGGGACAGTGCACATTAATGAACATAAACATGTGAATATGACAGATTACAGCCAGATGCTAATTTCCATCTGTAGTCCCTTGGCAGGTTGGTGGTAAGCAGGTAAACAAAGTTACATAAAAAGACGATGACAAGTAAAAATCAAAACAACAAGTAATGACAAGACAACAACATATACTGTACATTAGTGCTTAAAGTGCTTATGGTGCTGCTAAAGGAGGGAAAGTGTCACAGTGCTGGAGTTTTGCACATAAGTAAGAGGTTCTGGTGTAAAATGCACATTTGTCCTGGAGCCTGTAACTTTAAAGTGCTGCTGTGGTTGCACATGGCTCTATTGCATATACAGATGTTTTGAATGCATATTGCACAGGGTCTGCATACATAGAAGTGTTTATGTATGCAGGATTGCACTGGGTTCAGTTCTGATTCTGATCCACAATGTGTGTATTGACTGTCGTATAAAAGTGACTCAAAGTGTAATTCATATGTCACATGAGGCAAAACACATCGGCGTCTATACTGAACAGAACATTTCTATTTTAATGTTTAAAAAAGGAGTAAAGTGGCTGTAGAGTAAAGTTACGTGTTCAGGAAGTAGTCCATTTAAAATGACTCCATTTAACATTTAACAAGAACAGAAACTTAAAACTTTAACGTCAACAGCTGGAAATATGAATAATGCTTATTTATTAATTGAATATTAAAACTGAACAATACGGGGACAGTTTTATGGATTACTCTGATTACTATTAATTTAATTAAAGCGAAGGAGACTCACCTAGTGTAACAGCTTTGTGTCCTTTACCAGCTTTAAAGTAACTTTGGTGGATTTTACAGCTTCCTCCGATGCGGCATTATATTGTTTCTTTTACTTAAATAATATATACCTGTATCTATGTATAATTCAAAGGCTTTGTTGAGTAAAACTTAAACATTAAGTCTTACTTGTCTTTCCAGGAAGCTCCCAGAGCGAGGGAGAAAAATCCAAACTGGCGCTAAACGAAGGACCCCGCAGTGTTGTCAAAGTGCCTGTAGGTGCCCAACGAGCTGCCTTCATAAAAATACAGAAGGGCGCACTCAGTGTAGGTAGACAATCTTTACCGTGCTGAAGTACATTAGAATGGCGCACACTCCTGCAGCTAAAACTAGTCCTCAACACTGACAAGACTAAACTAATGTTGTTCTCAAACACTAAGAAAGTACCTCAAACTGTCCCCACAGTGTCCACTCTTGTGGGAAATGTCATAGAGGTGGTTCATATGTACAAATACCTTGGTGTCTTGCTTGATGACTCCCTCACCTTCCACATATTGACAATCTTGTGAAGAAACTGAAGCTTAAATTGGGTTTCTTCTTCCGAAACAAATTTTGTTTCTCTTTTGAGGTGAAAAAGCAGCTTGTCAGTGCAACTTTTTTATCCATTTTAGATTATGGAGACCTGATGTATATGAATGCCTCAGCTAAATGTCTAAGTAAGATTGACGCTGTTTATCATGCTTCTCTGAGGTTTATTTCTAACTGTGGAGCCATGACCCATCATTGTGAACTGTATTCTTTGTCCACCAGGAGGCTGGGACACTGGTGCACTTTTATTTACAAGGCCATGCTTGGGCTACTGCCCTCCTACATCTGTAACCTAATCACACAGAGAAGTGTTGATTCTTACTGTTTCCGTTCAAATGATCAGTTGTTGCTGTCTGTTCCATTTGCCCGCACAGAACTGGGAAAAAGGGCTTTCATCAACTCTGCTCCTTCTACATGGAACATGCTGCAAAAAGACTGGGAAATAACTGAACTGATTTCTTTGAATACTTTTAAATCCAGGCTGAGAGCACTTGAGAAGACCTCCTTTACTTGTAACTGTGTTTTATAATTTTAATTCCTAATTGTTTTTTATAATTTGAATTGCTGTCTGTTTGTTGTGAGTGTAACTGTGTAACTTTTCCTGCCTCTTGGCCAGGACTCCCTTGAAAAAGAGGTTTTTAATCTCAATGGGACTTTCCTTTCCTTTAAATAAAGGTTAAATGAAATCTAAAAAAATGGCTTTTCGACCAAAATGTATGAATTTTGATCAGTCAATTAAAAAATGAATGTGAAAATAAATTACAGAAGCAACGATACAGTGAGGGCACTGTGGACACTGTGAATGTTTTTTTACCTGTTCAAAAGTACCCTGGACGAACCGTCTTCTGCAGTGGATATATGCAAATTAAGTTTTTGGAGTGATTTCTGTAACCGTGTCCAACTCAACATACATAATTAACTTCAGGCGCTTTTTAGCCGAGTCTAGAGCCTAAGAAAAGATGCACCTGAAGTACTTCAGGGTGACAAGATAAATACATCAATGCCCTGATTTATTGTTGAATTCAACATCATCCTGACATCACATAAGTTACTCCCAATACTGTGATATATTGGTATATTGGTAATTAAAGTCAAAAGCAACTGAATAATGTACCAACAACGCCCTTCCATACATTTTCTTTATTTTATATAAATATATATATATATAATTTATAACTTAATACCTGTTTCAAATGAAAGTGGCATGTCATTAGTTAAGCTTGTGTGTGCATACCTGCATACTTCTGGGTAGGATGGGAGTACATGTGTAATTGTGAATCAGTTTATCAATACTACCACCAGGTGTCACTAAAGTCAGATATAAACATGTAAGTGCTTCATGTAAAGCTCTTTAATGGGACATCTAAACTATACGTGATTTTACAAGACCTAAAATATGAGTATGTGCTGGTATAATTCTGATCATTGATACATTGACTATGAGACAAAGACTGTCATTTTTGTTTTTTTATTTTCATTCACAGAATTACAACATAGACTTAAAATGCTTCGATCATCTCCAAACTATAGAATCAGCCAGGTGTTGAAGCTCCCCTGAAGAGAGACAGGCTGTTAAACAAGTTAATATAAAATGTGTTCTAATGTCCAGGTATCATCTGCAGAGTCTAAATAAAAAGTCTGTTCATATTAAAGTGTCTACATGGTGCATGCTTCTTTCCCCCCCCCCCATCAACAAAAACAACCCAATAATGATTGAACATATCCTAAACCAAAGGGGGGAAAAACATTTCTATTTGACAAGGAACCATTCAAATATTAAAAAAGCTTCCAGCTACTAAATACTTGTAAAGACTGAACTTACGTGCGTACATGACAGGAAGGCAGCGTAAAACTGAAATCTTATTAAAGTGTTGGTGCAGTTTCTGTTTGATATCCCTGACTTTTTTTTGCCTTGGAAGAATTTCAGCTAAAACCAAATATGTGCAAGACAACATGGGTCAAACATGTGAGAAAGGATGAGTACTCTAATATCTTTTCTATTCTGCAGTGTGATGTGTATAAACCCTCTGGACAGCTTTCAAATCCTACAAATAAATATTTAAAACTCAGTGTTCCCGTCCTTGGATGAGCTTCATTGAGGTCCCCCATGGAGCAGTGGAGTGCTGTCTCAGGATGCGAGCAGAGGTACAGGTACAAGCAGAGGAAGACTCAGATTATGGTGCAAATCTAGCTACTGTTAACATAGAAGCTTGTCTTAATGGATGTTTAGTTTATACAGTCCATGATGTGGATTTGCAGGGAGTCCAGGTCTGGCAGGATTTCATTGCACTTGGGGCAGGCGTGTTCTGGAATATTCCCCTGATGCTGCCAGTCGGTACCTGAGAGTCAGAGACAATGATCACAAACTGAACGAGGTGAACAGATTTTCAAACAAGGCTAAACTATGGCGTCAATCCCTGCAAGACTGTTGTGCTCATCAACATCGTTAAAAGCTGGTTAAAGGAATAGATTGTTATTTGGAATTATGCTTATTAGCTAGTTAGTTAGTTGTAGCATTGATACCACTCTCATGTATGCTCAACTTAGCTTAGCTTAGCTTATTTTAGTGTAAAGACCTGGGATGTGGAGGAATTGTTACATTTCCAAAATCAAAATGCAAACAGAAACTTCATAATAATTAAAATAGAGAACAGAAATAAATTAGTTTTTTTTGCAGATAGTTATGATCTGGAAATATTCTTCAGCCAGCCCCGGCTAACAAGTCCTTTCAGTGAGGCGTTTTCCCTATTTCCAGCCTTTATGCTGGGCTAACGTATCAATCTACTCGTCTAACTACATAAGAAAACACTAAAGCTTATTCCCCAAAAGGAAGAGCCTTTTTTTAAAGCTTTAATTCAGGTAGAAGGCATTCGTACAAAAAAATGGAAATGTGCCTACAAGTCTACACTCAGGGCAAACAACAACAAAAAAAAAAGGTGTTTTCAAACCACCTACTAAACTAGTCGTATGTACTGATTTGGCCAAAAACCGTATGCAAACAAATGCGAGATCTGCAGTAAGCCAAAAATAACCAAATACGCTGATTCGGGAAAAATTCCCAGTATGCATCAGACCAGTCTTCCCGCATACTGTATCCCACAATGCAAAGCGCCAGGTCAGTGATCAAAATGACGGAGAGCAACGTTTGCCATCAGCTGTTGTTCACTTCCACATTCCTTGACTGGAAACCAGTTTAGCCTGGCATACTGCAAAATAACCAGCGACTGGCAGTCATACTAGACACTATTGAAGTACACACTACATACTACGTTCAGCAGCAGCATGCAGTAGGCGGTTTCTAAAACAGATTAAGAGTTACCTCTTCCGACCAGACTCGCCCCGGCTCCATGTGCATTTCCTCCCCCATGTCTCAGCTGCATCTCGTTCAGGGTTTGCCTGCAGAGAACCAGAAGAAATATTGTTACAAGAAAGGAAATGAGAACTGGGATAACAGGTTCATGACAGTTAGAAGTTTTTAATCTTCACAGTCCATCCTGTAGAATGTTTCCAGTTTGTTTAAAGGGAAAGCAAAGAAGGATTTTGTGATCTTAAAAGAGAAGAAATTGAATACTGTCAGCCCCCCCTTGTTCTGGTCCAACTGAACTGAACTACAGGTTTTTAAAGAATACTCTGAATCTTTACCGGCCCAGTGACTCCATCTCGTCCTGCAGATGGGCGTTCTGCTTCTTTACGTACTCCAGCTGAGCAGCCAGACGCTCCCTCTCTTCATGGAGTTTCTCCCTCGCTGCTCGCTCTGCATAGAAGTCTGAGGAGTAGACCTCTGCCTGCACACAGGGTACAAGCAAAAGAATGACGAGACTAAACAAAGCCATGTGTCCAAAATAGTTCATAATAATCATACATTTTATTTGTAGCCTCAATTCTCATTAAAAAAAAAACCCTCAAAGTCCTGCGTAATAAATACACACGATCACAAAAACAAAAGAACGAGATGTGAGGGTGACAAACATTTTAGACACCGTCTGACCTGAGCCTGGAAGACGGATATGGTCTCCAGATCCTTCTCCTTCTGGAAGATCTCCTGCTTCATCTTATCAATGTGGGTCTGTTTAGAAGCCAGGGCTTCTTCTGCAGCAGTGAGCCGCTCCTGCAGCTCCTCCATCACCTCCTTCTGCACCAGCTGAGACTGCAGGGACCAGAGGGCGACAATCAAACACGTCTGCCTCTCACTTCTTGTGCATTTGAAACTTCATAGCTGCACTGGGTTCAGTGATTTTGGTTATTTTACCTCTCTTTTCTTCTTCTCCTCTTTGAGTTCATTGTAGTCTTCAAACAGCTTGGTGTAGGCATCCTTCAGTTGAGCCAGGTTGTTCCTGTATTGGAAGATGGAAGTGGCTACTGTTTACTCAGTGAGCATGTTTGAACAAAAGCTATTTGCTTAAGAGTGACAGATAACTCAGGGTTTCCAATGTCGATAAAATGCTTTTCTGCACGTACTTACTGCTACATTTTAACTTGTATCTTTTATATTCAAAAAGAAATGTAAAAATAATTGGATTGTTGTAACATTTCTGTTGATATTGAACATGATTATTATCAGGATATTCCTCGAACTCACAAGTTTTTTTTTTTTTTAAGATTTATTTTTGGGCTGTTTCTTTTGTGCCTTTATTGTAGAGATAGGATAGTGGATAAAGTTGGAAATCAGGGAGACAGACAATTTGTAATGTGGGAAAGGAGCAACAGGTCGGATTTGAACCTAGGCCGCCCGCTTGGAAGACTACAGCTTCCAAACACGGGGCGCACCTCCCGTACAAGATTATTAAGCCCTAGTGGAAATAAACACATTGACAATGAAAGTCTTTATATACACGTGTGGTGTCTGACCTCTCCTCCCCGGCCTTCCTCTGCTCCATCTGGTTCTCGGCCTGCATGCTGTCCAGCTGCAGCTTTAGCCGGTTGTTCTCCGACTGAACCGCCTGTTTCTCAACCAGCTGGGCCTTCAGAGTGACCACGTCCTGCTCCACCTCCCGACATCTACACGCGCATAGAAAGCAGAATATACAGAATAAACATGTTCAGATTAGAACATGTACGTCAAAGGAGAAACATTTTGTGCTTGCATTGAGATCAGGGATTTCCCGCCATGGGGACCTAACCTGTCCTGCAGGTTCTTCTTCATGCCTTCTGCTTCATCCAGCTTGCTCTGGGCCTGCTGCAGCTCTTTGAACAGCGCCATCATCTGAGACCTCAGATTCTCCACCTCAGACGCAGCCTGAAATATTTGAAAAATGACACACAGACGCTACTATGAGGAAACGAAACACGACAAACATCAGAGGACGACTGCCGGCTTTGGTTCCCCCAAGAATACAAATCATCTCGGGTGATTAAAGAACAAACAGAACTATAAAATGACAGGGCTGAAATACTCGCAGTAGGTTAATGGGAGAGATTATATTTTCCCTACAATAATTCATGAACTTATCACAAGATCGAATACCGAAATATAAGAAAATAATCAGATGTACCGTACGTTGTTATTTCTCCACACAGATCGTTCATTTTCACGCCCCTGCTAGTTTAGGTTCTTTCACCATTGAGTAGAAAGCCTGTACCTCTTTCCCAGAATCCTCCTTGGTCTCTGTCTGGGTGGTCTTCGTTGAGTCCTTTACATTTCTCTTCTGCTCCATAAGCTGGTTTATTCTGTCGGATAATTTGTTTCAGAAAGTATTAGTAAAGCACTTGAGCAAAAGAATCGTTTTTTTATGAGGTGGGATAAGATCAAACCCAAGTGACAGAACCACAGAGCCCAAAAAAACAAAACAATATCACTAATGAGAAAACACATTGACTTTTTTCACACATGCATACAAACTTGTGTATACATTCAACTTCTGCTGCTTCTTTTTACATCCTGAAAGCCCCTCCCGCTGGCTTTTGGGGCTTAAGATAGCAGCCTTAAGATTGCTGCATCCCAAAAAAATGAAAGACCATCCTAACCTTGCAGCAGAGGCCTGCAGCTCAGCCTGCAGCCTCTCAGCTCGCTGTGTCTCGTTCCTCAGTGACTGGAGAAGCTGGCTGACAGTCTGCTCCTCGTTGTCCAGCCGGGAGGTCGTCATGCTCAGCTCTGGACATCTTCTGAGTTCTGAACCAGACAGATCACCTATGGCAGCCACATCGCTTCCCTATGAGGACAAAATGCACAATTACAGATCCCGCCTCTGGTTCTCTATCGCTACCCAATCACTACGAGCAGGGTCGCTGCACACGTTTTTTAAAGTCACATTTAAGAACCACACAAACGACAATGGATACCAAGTTTGCACCAGATATCATGTTGACTTCCTTTCTTCCAAATTGAAATGCTTTTTTTTTTTTTTTTTTTTTTTTTGCATCTGTTACAAGGCGCTTCATTATCGGTGTTTGTCCCCATCAACCATCTCCTTCATTTGTCTTCCTGAAGATAAATTTCCTTGAACTTGCATTCCCTGATTTCTTCTCCTCCTTCTCTCTTTCTAAGTGAACTAGCAAATTCAGAAAAATAATAAATAACAAATAAAAGCGCCGTCTACAATGTAAGACCTGTGACAAGTCAAACTAATACTTTTTAAGACATTTTAATGAAGGAACTGTGGGAATCCCGAGTGTATGATTTATACACAATTAAAGTAAGAATGTGCGACTTTTTGATCCAGTAGATGTCGCCCTAGAGCACCAGCATCAAACCAAAACAAACACCTCCTCTATTCTGAAGCCTCCACTCTCCTCCAACCCCCTCTCCACTCGCATTTGAACGAAGGAGTTATCAAATGGAACGCACCATTAAGCACAAGTGGCGGACAATATCATCCTTTGCTCAGGCTGCATTTGCCTGTGTGCTGCATTGTTGTGTTAGCATGTTAATGTTAGCCCTCTTTGATTAGCTCGTAGCTTAACATTGCACATAAATTCACACCGTGATCTAAACAAGTGACATCTAAATAAGCAGTGAGCAGGCTGTCTTATTCTTCTTTTCTCTAGTCCTCGACTAAAACAGCTTTTGTACACATGGCCGTCCCGTCCACGTAAACACAATGTAAACATGATGTAAACATGATGTAAACACGGCTCCCACAACGGTACAGCTGGCAGGTAGACAGTCTTGACTCAGACTCTGTTATATTCATGTGTCAAATGTTGCACATTCTTCCATTAAACTGTGTTTCTTTGATTCCAATGTGCAGTAGTCATTTCCATTTAGGCACATGTGTGTCGCTTTTTACCATGACCGTGATGAAGGATTCTTCGTCCTGTTCAGCCTTCAGCTGCAGCTCAGAGTTCATGGCCACCAGGTCGTTCTTCTCTGCCTGCAGGCGAGCAACCTGGGCATACAGCGCATCCAGCTCAGCGCTCTTATTGGACGGCGTTGCCTAGAGATGACACACACAGAGTATTGGAGTATCACTGTATTATGTGTTAACATAGACTCTAAGCTTCTCTTACCTGGAAATTAATAAATAGGATAAATAGTAAGTGTTGCGTCCTTACCAGAAAGCCTCCTTCTATCGACCCCTCCTCCCCCAGCCTCTTCTTCAATTCCTGGTTTTGGAGGGTCAGTGCATCCACGCGGACTCGAGCCTCTTCCAGCCGGTTCTCCAGGAAGCCCCGTTCCTCCCGCTGCTTCTCTCGCCATGCAGACAGACCCTCGAATCGCTCCTTCATCGTCAGGTTGGTCTGACGCAAAGCCTCTAATGGGAGACAATTGAATAATGGCACAATGTTCAAGCTAAGGACCTTTGAATCATGACTTTTTTCTATGGCTGTCAACTCTGAAACTCCTCCCTCAGGATCACGACATCTACTGAACTTTAACCTGAGACACTCACACAGGTCTGATAAGAGGATTATCTTTACTTGTTTAAAAAAGCGTGAACAACAAATCAAAAGTCCTAAATATTTCATTCAGACACGTCTCTACTCTCACCTTTGAGGTCTCGGTTCTCCTGGATGAGGATGTTCATCTGCTGCAGCGTTTCCTCCAGGGTGCCGAACTGTCCGGTAGAGCGAGAGATGTCGCCGTTCATCATGGGGCCTCTGGAAGCCATGACGCTGAGAGGAAGAACAGACAGAAAGTGAAAGACCATATTACCAATATGCTTAGTCATTCTGTCTACGTTGCTCATTACTTAGAAACAGGAAAAAACTGGGTGTTAAATGAGATAAGTGGATAGACCACAAACAAAACTACTGTTTGATGAATTGGAATTAATTCATCTCTGTAAACTGATACACACACCAAGGTTTACTCTATAACTTGACCAATATGGAGACTGACATGGACCCTGACTTTACGCTGATAAAACAATCACTTACCCACATGGCAACTGAAAAAGTTGGAAATACTGTTGATTTTTTTTTTCCCACTTATTTTGCACCCATTAAACCCTTTCTTTACAAAGCATGAACATAATCAATATCTAACTGTAGTTATACTATAGGTACTGTGTCTGTCCCCCGGCCCAGACCTGTTTGTATAAGTCATCCAAACGGCGTAAATCCTCAAAATCTCATCAGAATCAAAACTACAAATACGATTTTGCAAAAAAATCTGAAAATTCACTGCAGACTTTTGAACATTAGGTCTGAGCATCCAAATCTCTTTTAGTGAATGATCTGATATCAGATCAGCATATTGATCAACTCTTTTTTTGACTGAAACCTGGCTGTGTCGAGATGAATATGTTAGTTTGAATGAATCCACTCCTCCCAGTCATTTTAGTACTCATATACCTCGAGACACCGGACGAGGTGGTGGAGTAGCAGCTATTTTTTAAATTCTAGTCTTCCAGTTAACCCTCGACCAAAGCTGAATTTTTCTTCTTTTGAAAGCCTTGTTCTTAGTCTTTCACATCCAGTCTCAAGAACCTTTCAGCCACTTCTAGTTGTTGTAGTTTACCGTCCTCCTGGCCCATATTCTGAGTTTCTATCTGAATTTGCAGAATTTTTTTATCAAATGTAGTCCTTAGCAGTGATAGAATAATTGTTGTAGGTGACTTCAATATCCATGTGGATGTTGATAATGATAGTCTTAGCACAGCTTTCATGTCACTATTAGACTCTGTTGGTTTCACCCAAGGTGTAAACGAACCTACTCATCGTTTCAACCACACCCTGGATCTTGTTTTAGCTTATGGCATTGAAATCCAAAACCTTACAGTTTTCCTCGAAAATCCTCTTCTATCAAACCATTTCCTCATTACTTTCGACTTTGTCCTGCCAGAATTATCTCTGCTTAACACTAATGTGCTCTCTAGAAGTTTATCTGATCGTGCTGTAGCTGTAAGGAAGCTATTTCAGCTGCTTTTGATTCAGCGCCTTGTTTCAACCATAGGATGTGAAGTGTCTCGAGATAACACTTGTCATGAGTTGATGCTGTACAAATAAAAATGAGCTGACTGAATCACTGCGACACATAACCAAGCTGCTGCTCTTCTACATGTGGAATCATGCAAACTGTGGAGTGAGAGCTCACTCTGCAGCATAAACTGCAAGATGATGCAAAACAACCAAAGCACTGTTTTCCGTAGGCCTACTATATTTGTGTTGCTATTTTGAATGATTTGAATAAACATGCCTTTACGATGATATCTTTAATCAGGAGACGCATCATTGTTTCCATCATGACTGTCAATAACACGTTCAGAAAACTTCCCTGGTGACGTCACTGATGACTCAGAGCTTCAACAGGAAGCAACACACGCTGAAACGGAATTATCTTATCAGCTGATCACATGGTAATTTCATTACATTTCTTTGGTGAGGCAGCAGTATCTTAAAACATACTGTGGTCTGCTCCTGACCTTATTTGACGAATTACTTAATGACTGTCACAAAACAACCGCTTTGCAGGTTTTTGTGGTGTGAAATACAACAAATAAAAAAAGGTAAAGGTATGACTTCTTAGAGGCAGTAAACAGGTGTGAGTGTGAGATAACTGATACGCCAAAGCCACCGCTCACACTTTAGCTCTGTTAACGATGTTATTTTTCATTCGTCATCGTTACATTTCAGTTTCACTTTCCTCAGGTGGGCCTGTCCCGTGAGCGACTCATGGCAAACACTGAAAAGTTATCAGTAACTTACACAACACGGAGACGGTTCAACCCAAACTGCGTCACACCTCACCTTTCACAATAAGAATGTTTAAACTCACCTGTCGTCCTAAACCAAACACAGTCCGTGTGTCCACACCAAAGGCACACAGCAAACAGTCGGGAGTAATGACAAAATGTGTCGCTCAACCTTGTCCTGCTGATGCCTCTGCTTTGTTGCAGCGTCAAGTAACGGACGTAAACATTTGACTTCCTGTTAGCAACTTCAAAATAAAATGCCACTTTCACTATTTTGGTTTTTGAGTCTTTGAACAACACAAGACGCGACCATAAAATGTCATTGTTGTTGTTGTTGTCGGCTTGTTACTGATATAGTTCTGCTGTAAGCAACAATGATATATTTAAATATGGATAAATATTGACTACACTAAACTCTGTTACTCCATAAATTGTTTTGTAAATAACATTATATTCCATTATATTTAATTAAATATATATTTTATTATGTTATATTCTAAGTTATTACAATATATCTCTGACATCTAAATTGAAGGCCACTTTTTTTTAATCAGCTTCAACCATAATTTTGAAAAAGTTTGAAAATCATTTGCCTTATTTCCTGTGTACATTGGTTACATGACGCATCTGTGTCTTGTGTGGCTTTAAAATAGGTTTTCATTTCCTCAAAGTGACGTAGGGAGCACGCACCACGCCGCTGTGAAGAAGAGACCCTCCGCATGTTTCAGACATCAGAGAAAAAGGGCAGATGACAGATGAGGACGGGACTTCCCGACAGGAGTCACCTTGCACTTCGTGAACTGGAAAGCAGAGATTCTAGTCCCTCATGTTGTAAAATTATACATTATAACAATTACAATAAAAGTAAAAACAAAAAAAAAAATGTAAAAACAAAAACGAAATAAATAAAACAACATTAGCATTTTTTTGTTTAGAACATATAGTGCTCATAATATCTCAGGATTTACATCATTTAAGAAGATACTCTCTGATCTCTGATGTACGTCGCTTTGGATTAAAGCGTCTGCTAAGTAAATTGAACTCTATTATATAATAAAAGCAAGACTTCATCCTTCATTTCATCTAGTGTCCGTTAGATGGCAGTGTTGTGCAAGTTAAAATCGTCAGCTTTAAAAGTCACACCTCTCAACTGTTAAAGTACTCAATGAGAGTTATCGTGACTGAAATATATTGTAATCCAAAGAGCTCTCTGGAGATCAGACTGTAGTTTCAAACAGGAGAAGCTAAAAGATACGAATAACTGTGTTTGAGCGTCAAATAAAAACAGCATATGATGCATTTACAGGTGTAATAGTGGGAATCAAATGATCTTATAATACGAATGCATATGCACATAGAGCTGTAAAAATTAAAACAAAAAAAAAATACGCTCAAGAACTTTTCTGGAAATTATTTTAAACAACAAAAGCCTCTTGCTTGCTTTACTGCCGTAGATCGTTTATTGATCCTCTTGGATGCGTTCACGTGCAAGATGAGGAAAAAGTCGAGAAGTAGGCCAGGAGCTGTGTTCCTGGATTCAGTTCTTTGTCTGCACTGTGAAGAAGTTAGCCATCAAATAAATTGTGCAATTTGTCAGAGGAGATAGTGCAGCCTGGTCGCATTAATTTAGCCCAGTGAATAACCTGTAGCCTACATATGAACACATGATTTGTCATTGCCTATGTATTGCATACAAAAGCATCTACGTTTATCAATTTGATTAATATGTCCTTTAATCATGGCTAGACTCGAGCAAACCAACACCAACACCAACCAGCTAGAGTTTAAATTAAATTTCGGGGCGTTCCATTAGTCCGTGAACGCAGCACAGGCGCGCTCTGGTGGCGCTTGTGCTCCTACCACAGCCAACAGATGGGATGGAAACACAGAGAACACAGCAACAGGTTGGACTTAATAACATTTCTGCAAATTAGTTTGACACTTGAGTTCACTTTAAAGTCTGGGGAGAGAATAAATACCCGGGCATGAGCAGGCTTAGTTGAGGAGGGGAAAACACCGTGTTGTGGAAGAATTTAAAGTTACTTAGCTTTTTTTCTTTCTTTAAAAAAATTCGTGGAGTAAAGCATCCTCAAGCGTCCAGGCACCCGTCACAAGTGATTCTTTCTTTTGACGCAACACTTTGAACTCACTTTTTGTAACTTGGATGCTTGAATGGACCGGACAGCAGCCTAGAGCAGTCCATTTTTACATCACACTTATTTTGATTAATTAATCCCCACAGGGTTTACAAACTGAAGTAAACCTGATGCTTGGGGTTCTAAGGATGTTTCCTACGGCTCTTCTGATTGCAACGCTCGGCGTTTTTACGCATTTGGACACTTTTACGCACGGGTGCCAGCTTCCCTCCGAGTGGCGGCCCCTGAGCGAGGGATGCCGGGCGGAGTTGGCGGAGATCATCGTGTACGCCCGGGTGCTGGCGATCCACCGGGAGCCCCTGGGCGGTGGGGCGGGCAGCTTGTACAACTCGCTGCCCTTCGGCTTCGGTTATGGGTACGAGGGCGCGGAGGAAGGACTGCTTTATTCCGCGGAGGTAGAGATGCTGTGCGATCAGGCCTGGGGCAGCATGCTGGAGGTGCCCACTGGGTCAAGGCTCAACCTGACCGGACTTGGGTACCTATCCTGTCAGTCTCACACCGTGATGGAAAACTACTCCTACTTCTTTTTCCTCAGGTGAGGTCCAAAGCAGGGCCACATCCAACAAATAGATCCATTTGGACTAGAAATAATAGGCCTAATTCTACAAACACTTTCTTACAATTAAAATAGACTGCACCCCATGAACACTGCCAGACATGCATTTTGCGAAAAAGGCATTTTAAGCTTTCAATCAATCAACAAAACTTTATTTATATAGCACCTTTCAGACAAATTAAATTGCAGTTCAAAGTGCTTTACAAGAGTGCAGAAAAGTTATTGACAAAAAAGTAGTTTATAAAATCATTGAGAATAAGAATAAGAATTTTAAAAAATATGTATAAAAATGAAAAAATAAAATATGAAACATAAAAGCAACAAGATATTAAAATTAATACATCGGAGAAGAATATTTAAAAGTGTAATAGGATAAAAAAGACAATACAATAATGTTCAGATTTGCATTTATATAAAGCACTATATAAAAGCCAGACTGAATAAATTCACATAACTCTTCAGCTTCCTCATCTTTTACAGTTTGTTTTAATGATACTATGCTCTACTGACAGATGTGTTGGCAAACCAGTGTACTTAAATCAAAACGATGACAGCTGCAGTTCCGAGTTCTTTTGCAACATGCTGCTACAGGCTCAACAAACACTGCACTGCATCTGATTGAACCTGCAAGTCCACATCTGATTTAATTGATGCCAACTCCAAACTACTTTAACTCTTGCAGCAGCCTCTTAGGCGAACTCCTCCACAGTTAATCAGTCTGTCTCCTTTTGCAGGATGGATGAGAACTACAACATCCTCCCCCATGGAGTCAACTTCCAGGATGCGATCTTCCCCGACACGTCAGAGAACAGACGGACGTTCTCCAGCCTCTTCCAGTTCTCCAACTGCACCCAAGGGAGCCAACCTTTCCACACCTTCAGCCCAGAGTGGGACACGCAGGAGGACAGCAGGGTAGGGGCATCAGACAACTTTCTAATGACTACAAATCATGCACCACTTGTAGAAAAAGGCAAAACAAAACTTTTAACAAACCAAGAATTGTTACCCTGAGGACAGCTGTTGCATGATTGAAGAGTTTCCATAATAATGTTCACAGCTTCCTTCTTTTTTAAAAACTTTATTGCACTTTGAGAATAGGTTAAACGTTGTATCTCTTTCTTGAGACATGTCAGCTTTTTCAGGGTCTGCAGAAGATGTAAACAAACCAGACACCATCTAGTTGCCATGGAGATAACAGTCCAGACTAACAGCAGGGTGCAGGAAACTGGAGAGGTGTTGACTTACAACTATTGTAATGGTGCCGGGCTTTTCTTTGTATTGATACGGCTCCTGACCTTAGTATACTGTTTAAGTGTTTACTGTTTAAGCCAGGATGGAAACAAAGTGCGTTGTGTGAGGTCTTGGTTTTATGTTTACAGCAGCCTATGAGGAATATATTTGTTGATTTCAGCTCTCTGGACAAAAGCTGATGATCTCGATCTGGCTAGAATGTGCACTTTTTTTTTCGAAGCAACTTTTTTTATTTTCAGATTTATTTTGGGGAATTTTGTGCCTTTAATGGAGAGACAGGACAGTGGATAAAGTTGGAAATCAGGGAGAGAGAGAGAGAGAGAGAGAGAGAGAGGGGAATGACATGCGGGAAAGGAGCCACAGGTGGGATGCGAACCATGGGCCGCCCGCTTGGAGGATTACAGCCTCCATTCATGGGACAGTAAAGTATTTAAAAAGCAGAGAAATTAGTGAGGAATTGACATTTGTTGGAGCCAAATTGTTGCTTTAACAATTTATTAAGTATATTTTTGATTTAGTTAATTACCATCAATTTTGCAACAGTTTTGCAACAATTTTGGATGATGCATATTAATGACCCTTTGCACCTCGATAAACAGATGTGCTAACCACCAGCGCCCCTGGAAGCAACTTTTTAATGAACTTTTTTTCTAAAACAGCTGACTTAACTCTACCAACTGAGCCACAGCTAGTCAGTCATCTGTTTATCGAGGTGCAAAGGGTCATTAATATGCATCATCCTCCCACTCCAACCATCAGACATGCATTACCACTCACCTAAAACATAACTGATAAACAAACACACATTCTGTTGCAAAATTGATGGTAATTAACAACATCAAAATATACTTAATAAATTGTTTAAGCAACAATTTGGCTCCAACAAATTTCTGCTTTTTCAACTCTTTGCTGATCCTGCTCTCCAGCTCACATACAACACACTGAAACTGTGCGGAGGAGAAATGTAAACATAGGCTCTTCAGTTTTTGTGTCGTAAATCGTCTTGTGGGAATCCGACGTGATGACCGTGGTGACAGGCATTAAGAATAACTGTGTAGAAATAGGAAATCATCCTGATGATGAACTCGTTTGCTTTTGTAGGTCATACAGACGCATCAGTAATAAATTGAGGGTGTTAAATTCTCCTCGAAGAAGCTTTAAGTGTATTTAGGGACACCTAATCCTGAGTTGAGTTGTGACTGTGCTGACAGGAATGTGGTGAGGATCAGTGGAAACATAGTGTAACAACCCCCTGGAACGGTGCACACACACACACACACACACACACACACACACACACACACACACACACACACACACACATTTTGAATCACAGTTCTGATCTCTGGAAGCATGGGAAAACACAAACACATGCACAGAAGAATCGATTGTTCTTCCAATAGATTCCCAGCCTGTGATTGGTCATGTGCCATCGCGTCCCTGCCAGCTGAAGATCAAAGCAGTCACTGATTGGTCAAAGTCTGGCTTGCTGGCTCCTCCGGCAGACAGGATACTGGCCGTCGAGAGGTCAAAGATCAAATAACAGAGATCCACATCTTTGACAGGCAGCATTTTAAAAAGCATGTCGGCCTGCAGCTTGAGTTCAAATCAGTAAGTAACGCAGCGGCCTGCTGACCTGGAACCAGAGATAAGCTGAAGCTCTGTCAACAGACGAAGAAATATTTGCAGATTGTTTGCATTCATTAGCAGAAGACAGAACATGGACGTCTTTCCCTTCATGTTGAAAGGATGTTGAAAGGATGGTTTACGTTTACTGCACAGACTGTATAAAACATGGACAAAGTTTCAGTGACATCACTCATTGATGCCTGAAGAGATGTTATGAATCCCAACGACAGTAGCCGCCATATTGGAAATGCTTTCTCAACCTTACTTTCTGTCAATCAAGGATCTAGGCTTAACAGAAAAAAGAGGAGTTATAAAAAGTTCTTCCCTCCTACACACAGTTTGTGAACCTATCAAGGAACGAGCTGTTTACGTCATGTCCTGTCTCCTGAGGCAGCAGCAGACAAGTGCGAATAAACATCTGACAAGAATATTTATATAAGTCTTTTTAGGCCATATTCCACCATTGTGCCTCTATATAAAGCATCACTGAGTGGGCGGGGCTGTCTCGCTTTCCCTACATGGTGGCAGGTCGGGGCTGGAGGGGTTCACTCACACTTGGTGCTTCGGACTTATATCCTTTAAATCTTGACTTTACTAGTCCAGAACGACTTGATACATGATTGAACCTACATCCGACTCATGGCTGATTTCAGGCTCATTTTGGACCGTTTGATAAATCGAGACCGGTCTTGGATATTGACTTGAAACTTTGCGTACTGAGGCCCTTTCACACATGCACTCACCGACAGTCTCTGGAAATTTTCCAGATAGCCTGCTTCACTTATTTCTCTGAGTTCCCTTTTCTCACATGTACCTCAAAGTGGGAGATTTTCCCTGTCAGATGGTGAAATCTCCCACTGTTGCATCAGGATAACCTGTATTTGCAGATATTGATGTGAATGGTGACAACAATTAACATACAGGAAGTTATATGTTGATCATGACTGACCTGAAAACCATGCAGACTGACACTTGATTATTTGTTTCCTAAATTGATGTATGCCATTTGTTTTGTTGTTGGGAGTAAGAACGGTGCATTTGTTTGTTGTCTTCCTCTTGTTTTTTTAGTCTACTTTGACCTGCAGGGTCTGGCTCCTACGTTGAAAGGTCAGAGTTCAGGGGTTTGGGTTAAAGACACTGCTCATTAAGAGGACGAGCACTGACATGTAGAGGCCACGACCTGCAGGCAAGGCGGGACTAAAACAGGTGTTTGCTCCTGGAATTTCAAAGAAGTTTGAGGTTTTTATGTTTTTCTACCGTTTGTCATCTACATTTCTACTTCAACTATCTCGAATTTTTGTGTTTTTTCCAACTCTCTTGAGCGTTTCCCTCCCTGTCAGTATCATCCTCTCTGTGCTGTACGGTTTCCAGACCTCCTCCAGATGGGTTTTGAAACACAAAACATCCTCAGAGTTGGAGCGGGGAGTTGGTTTTGCTTCTGGTTTCAGCCTCGTGGGAACCAGACGCCCCTGCAGGAGGAAAGACAAGAGACTTCCTCCACTTTTCTTCCAGAACCGTCAATTAGCCTTTGTTGAAGCGTCCTCTTATCAGCGGCACTCAGTGCAGCTTTAACCAGGAGCCGGAGGTAGAGGAGGCAGTAAGCCCACTAATCATCTGTTTAATACAGATCCTTTCCCTCCACAGTATCTTTCGCCATCACTTGACAGGCCGCAGTAGACAGAGATGAATTCCCCAAATACTTCTTTATCAGCACATTTCTGTGTTTACATGTTCTCTAATGATTTCACTTTCACCCCAGTGAGGGGACACTCCTGTTTTATAACTGTCATGTGAACACCTTGAACAAGTTTTCTGACTCTCATTAACATTTTATGTGGACGCTCGCAGGGATAAACGGAGGACAAAACAGTTAGCTGTTTCACACAGTAGTTAAAGCTCAGGATGAATACAGTGTGCAACTTTGTGTGTGTGTGTGTGTGTGTGTGTGTGTGTGTGTGTGTGTGTGTCTCCCACTTTCCCTTTCTCATCTTTGTTTTTCTTCTCTCTCGGCGTCCCTTTTGTTCCCTTTATCTCTTCATCTCTCACTAGCTCTTTCTGTCTTATTGTTTTTTAAGCACCTATCCCCATGTGTGCCCATACACACACACACACACACACACACACACACACACACACACACACACACACACACACACACACACACACACACATTGAAAGCAGGGTAAAACCTCATGAGAAAAAGAAGAGACCCAAGCCTGTGTCTTTGACGTCAATAGTGAAGCTCTGTTTGGGGGGTGAGGAGGGTAACTCATGCTGAGTCTTTATATAAAGTTATCAAAAGTCTGCAGAAGTAAATGAGCACTCGGGTCAGGTTGGACACAAACAGACACACAAAGGCACATCTTTAAACCCCTTCAACCCTTTCTTCAAAATCTCCCTCCAATCCAGGACTCCGACCGTCTTCTTAACAGCATAGCGTAAAAGCTCCATCTTCCCATATGCTCACACAGTTAACCTGAGCGCTAATGATGTCACAGTTCAAAGAAATAAAATACCCTCATGGACATTAAAGTCACAGTCATTATGTGTCCGTTGTCATTGACACTATCCATCAGTGATTCAGTGTTAGGGGAGTTACAATCCCATTTTAAGATCCTGGCAGATCCCAGATGTGTTGATCCAATCATGGGTGTTAAGTGGTAACCTCAACCCGTATCATTATCTTTAAAATGCCTTTATCTGCCTCCTTACCCCCTCCCCCCTTACCCCACTGCTTACGTATAACATGCCAAGAGTTATGATACATAGTTTGACTAAGAAGTGTTAAAAAGAAAGCTTCTATTTTTTTAATTTGATGGTAAAGGTAGCATGTAACCTGGTAAGGATCAATAAAGGAAAGTGATGTGTCTATCTTTGCCGATGACAGCATATTGCAGCGATATACCATTTAGTTAAAAAACAATATGACAACTTATTTCACTAGATATACATAATGTCTGCTGCTCCAGCACAAAACTCCTGTAGTTTTGGGCTGAGCTACATGTGTGAATGCAAACAGACACATGTTTCATTCTGACTTTATCCAGAGTTTCTCCTACCAGCCCCTTAGTAGACCTTCCCTGTGTATCTAAGTTTGCAGATGTGAAACCCCAGCAGGATATAATCAGGAAAATGTCTTGAAGGGGGTGGTGACATTTATATCCTGTGATGGATGCATGACCCCGGACTGTCTGCACGCGACCAGTGCGATCTCTGTGCATGTCATTAAACTGCTGCATTATGTTCTCTGTTCTTCTCTGATCTGTTGTTCATATTGTGATCATTCATACTGCCAAATTACACCTGGCATTAATATGAATGCAAATATTGTCATAATAGCATCGTAAAGCGTACTCTGTTGCCTTGTCCGACACTTCATGTCGTTCTTTTTTTGCCATGTAACTTGAAGTGTAAAAAGCACTTTGAGTAGTCAGAAGAGAGGAAAGTAAAAGCTCAAGTTCATTTACATCTACGAAGGGATAATGTTAGCAACTGTGGCTAAAGTATACACCCAGTCCAATATTCACCATCTATCAATCCATTGGTTTCCAACCTGTTTTGACTCATGACCCCACTTTGACTTCACAAAACTCTGCTTATTAAAAAGCTTATTAAAGACCACATTAAGGCTATTTCATGTGTAATATTGTGGACAGAGGCAGAAAAGCCAAGATGAGATTTGAGCACAAAGTGAGAATTAAACTTTTCTCAGTGCAAAATAAGTACAGCCAGGTGAACATATAAGGCTGGGAATTAATGATGAATGCATGAAGCATGGATGAAAGACAGACAGAAAATGGCTCACAGTGCTGAACTGGATAATGTCTTGTAGCTTAATTCAGGTAGAATGATAGAATACATTTTTTAATAATTAGAAATTGTAGGGCACCCCATCTATTTGATTTCCATGCGACCCCATATGGGGTCTAGGCCCCAAGATTAGGAAAGCCTGCACTGAGCTTTATTTTTGGTCTCCACCACCTCTGAATAAATATCTGACTCTTGCCAATTTATGACCCATTTTGTTGTCTTTTGATGCTGAGCAGGTCACACACGGAAAGTTTTTTCTGAATCTTTTAACCTAAAACTTCTTTCTGCTGTTGCTGGAAAAAATAAATTGTGGTTAGACTCAACCAAAACATAAAAGATGCGGATCCTAAAACATTCAAAAAGATACTTACAATGCTAACAAAAGGTTTCAAAGTTAAGTGATATTGATCTGCAGGTTGGTCTCTACATGTGGATCCATTATGTTATGTGTGCAGTCTTTTTATTTCATTGAAAGTCTGTGAATATTGTTCTCTGCCACTTTAAATTCATGCAAGCCTTTTTTAAATGTGTCGACAAACATGACTTTTTGTACTCTTGAATTCGAGAACATGTCCTCCAAATGCTGTTTATACAGATGATGCTTAACAGCAGGCAGGTGACACCCGGATGTTTTGACAGGTGCTGTGCGATTGTGGGTGCCTGTGTGTGTTGCTAGTGTCCTACTGAGAGCCTTCCTATGAGCATGAGAAAGGGGCTCGTTCTTTAAAAAAGGGAACCACTTTTATGTAACCTGGTGAAAACTCGTCGTGAATGAAATGTGAAAAACTTCTCTTAAAAGATCAGTTCTCATATCTGTGTTGAATATTTTTGGGGTTCGGTTTTCAGATAAGCTTCACTGAGATCGATACAATCTCTTAAATTATAACGAGGAGATTGAAACGTCGTTTAAGCAGCACATAAAATTAGATTTAAAAAAATGTAACAGTGGGTCATCCCCCTGACCAATCAGCACATACCATGTTATTGCATTGGCACAATTCCAGTTGGAGACTCTGGTGCAACGGAGGAAGGTTGTAAAATGCAGTTTTTTTCCAGACTATGGCAGACTGTGGCCTTTTTGACCTTCAATAAAGTGCTCATATGATATTCAAGATGAAGCCAAAATACAAACCCTTACTGGTATGCATTTAATATTCAATTTCACGCGCAGTCTTTGCAGATCAGAAAAATATTTCATTGTGCATTCAGAAATCAGAGTTTGAGGAAGGATTGAAAGCACGACTCCATTCTTCATCCACATGGTGCAAAAAAAAATCGAATTAAGGAAGCTCTGTAAACCATCGGTACAAGTGATTTACAGAGAGATCCATTAATCCAGCTGCCTATCCCTGACACCTTTAAGCACACCTACGTTTGTCTGTTTTAAACTGCTCTTGAATCGTGTTAACTCTTTGTTCATCGTCACTTAGGTTATGGGCTCTGGATTTTACACAGATAAAAAAAAATATGAACCCAGTATAGTGATAGCATTGTATCGTGAGCTGAGTGTCGCTAACATCCTTAGCTTCCTGCTAGCTCGTGAAAAGTTCACACCCAAACTCATGATCCAACTGGTCAAAAAATGGTTAAAATGATAAGTGCACATCATGAAATGTTGGACTGGGGTGCTGGTGGCGCTGGTGGTTGGTGCGCGCGCCCCATGTATGGAGGCTTTGGTCCTCTGGGCGGGCGGCCCGGGTTTGAGTACCACCTGTGGATCCTTTCCCACATGTCATTCCCCACTCTCTCTCTCTCTCCCTGATTTCCAGCTCTATCCACTGTCCCGTCTCTCCATTAAAGGCACAAAAAAGCCCAAAAATAAATCTTTAAAAAAAATATATATATATGTTGGACTTTCTGAAAATCATAGTTCTCAAAAACTGGCCTCACACTTGTCAAAATAATAACAGAGAGCCTAAGTAGTTCTGGAACAAGATTTGGGCGTATAATTAGTGTAAGTGTGGTGTTTGATCTGAGGCTGCAGGCCACAGCAAGTCCTTTGAACAGAATGTTAATGTGTTTGTGTTCATTGTTGCCATGTGGAGAAACACTGTAAGGCATACCTTCCAAAGGGTTTCTATGCTCTTGTGACAAAGTGCGGTCGTACATGAAACACACATCAACACTCCCCGCTGTGACGGCGTGAGCACTCACCCCCGTTAAACCCTCCAGCCAGAGGTCAGCTCTGGTCTACCAATGAGATGGAAACTCAGGGCCCCTGAAACATCAAAGTACATGACCCTCACATTGTCAGGGAGGCTGGGAGGTCCACAGGGTGAAACATTTACGTTACTCAGACAGCATACATGGTCCTCTTGTGTTTTTGCACTGTGTAGACGGGGGCCGCTGTGGATAAATATAAATGACATGGGTCAGGACTTGCACTTTTTTCCCCGTCCTCTGTCCTTTCAAGTCTGATGGGTTTCACAGAGGAGAAAATAACACAAGCAAGGGAGAAATAAAAGCAATGTGGAGTTCAAGGGAAGAAGTATTTTTTATTTTTTTTTAACAGAATGGCTGCTGGGAAAGTCACATCACCAGTGATCCCACACAAAATCGACCACCTGACAACATGGCAGCTGCTGGTTTACAACACTGTGGTTTGCCTGTTAAGAAAACAACCCTTTATTTATGACGACTTTCTCCACTTCTTTCCCTTTTTCCCCTCCATTCTCCAGCTGCTGTGCTCCTCGGTGCAGGGCGCACTGTTCGACGAGGAGGAGCGGGGCCGCAAGCTGCAGGAGCGCCTGGCCGGGGCGGAGAGGAGGAACCGGCAGCTGAAGGAGCGCGTTCGTAAAGTGAAGCGCTCCCTGCGGAACGCTCGCAAGGCCGCTCGAAAGGCCGAGCAGGAGGTGCAGGAGCTGCAGGAGAAGCTGAAGGCTGCAGAGCGGAGGGCGGGGCACCACCTCAACGCAATAACACAGGATGAACTTCCAGGGGGCCGATACGCAAGCACAGCGATACGTCCACGGATCCAACTTTAAGTGGTCCAATCCAACCTTTTCCTCAAACTGAAACACACCTGGACTGGAAACGGGCCGTGGAGAGGGAGAGGCTGCTGGGCGGTCTTTGAGACAGGGACAATAAATTAGCAACTTTAACAACACACTCTTAAAGTTATAATTCTGGTAAATAAACTTTTCTTTATCTTGTGTATGCCAAATTACCAAAATATGAAAGTGATGATCTGTCAGGGTCATTCCCCGTTATCTTAAATCTCACACCCTGTGATCACACAGACAGTGTTTTTGCCAATAGTAGAGCAACGATAACATCAGAAACAGCAGGAGCTCATTGGAGGAGTGACACCTTACTCTGTTAACCGTTGATCTGTGTGGTTTTCCTCCCCCGCAGTAATACTAGTTAATGTTTCAAAACAAACTTTGACTAAAGAAGGTCATGTATAGGTCTGAGAATGTATTTAAAAGGCTAAACCTCCTGTGGCTCTAATGGGATTTTATTGACTTTGCTTGGGACAAGTCCTCTTAAAACAGTGTCACTCACTGGGGAAATAATGTTTCAAATAGTCAGTGTTCACCAGGTGTGCTGTAGAGTGTTGCATTATGTAAAGTGAAGGACCCATTGTCCGAATATTCCAGCCATCCAAAAAATCTGGCTCTGACTGGGTGTTAAAATGTTGAATCATTGGAAAATCTATTTAAATGTTAGTATTTTTTGTTTGTATAGTCCAAACAGATTTCAAAAAACCTAAAATGTGAATTGTCTTAGCCTTCACATTAATATTGCGTTCACTTGACCTGGCACTGCTAGACCATGTGCAAATGCAACTAAGTCTGAAACCTCTTTGAAACTTCCTTTATGTCCAAAAGTTGTCATCAAAGAATTCAAAGCAAAATCCCTCTTATTTCTACAACAAATCACAACTCCAAGAGTACGACAAGGACATAAGGACATGAGGTTTATTGTAATTGTAGTCTACATCGAAACTCAGTATGGCATTCAAAATAAAAGCACTGACTAGGCTGAGCCAGGATTTCCAGCAGGATTTTCCGGCGGTTGCTGATGAGCCTCCAGAGACCCCTGCTGTAACATGCATAGGCTGCTAGGATAGATAGCGACTTCCATTGCCCAGTTTGGCGTCAAACACAATATAATACACAGCTGTTTGGTATGACATGCTCAGTAGCCAACACTTCCATTTGTATGCAACTTCAAAAAACCTCCAGTTTGTTTAATGCGTGTGTTAATTTAAAACCTTCAACAGTAAAAGAAGACATTTTGGTTGTTAGCAAGTTGAACTATTTTGTCTTCAATCATATAAAGCACACTTCATATTATTTAACCAGTTGCGATCGGCTTTACCAGAAACAGGCCTAAAGCAATGACATGAGCTTTAATGATCTTCTAGCATTCTTGAATTTTTGGTTCACTTCCTGTATGTGAGCACAAAGAAACTTCACACACAACACTTCCTATAACTTTTTAGACTATATGGCTACAGCTACAAACAAAAACACCACAAACCCCCATTGGCATTCATTCAGTCGTTCATTTCAGGCCGGGATGGGAAGCTATTAACAAAGCTGATTGGCTCAGTAGGCTGAATCCAAGCATTGACGGAGTTGCAGGACAACAAAACCAAAACAATGAGCTGAAAGACGCTAAAATAAAAGATGCTAAGCTACTCTGTTAGAGCCAAATATAATTGATGACAGTTTAAAAGGAAACTCTGTCATATATGAGTGACTTATTTTCTCCACATGCAAAATAATTTGACCCATTGTTGGTATAAATGTTTTGATTATATCTGCTTCTGAAATAACTATAAAGTGGTGCAATGAATGGAGACATTTGAATGATGTTGAGATATATCAACTTTTTCTCTAACTGTTATTGTAGGTGATGTGACTGAGAGCAGAATTCAGACATGACTGAGGAGGTTTTTAAAAAAAAAAGTTTTTAAAGTCTGAATTATCCGCTTGTATGTGTATATTTTTGTAAAAATGTTTTTCTGCATATAAATTCAGATTCATATGAATGTCAGCGTGTACGTGACTATGCTTTGTAGAAGGATATTAACATCTGGGTCACTGGAGTACAATGAAAAAAAACAACAACCAAAAAGCCACACAGCTTCAGTGGTTGTGCCCCACAGCATCACGCAGAGAGTGTAAAGAGAGGTGAAGGTCAGAGCAGAGACTGAATGGTGTATATGTGTCGTGTGTGGGGAGAGAAGGAGATGTGTGTCTGGTCCATCAAGTGACTGGAATGTGTTTGCGTGGGCAGCAATGTTCTGAACAGCGGGACGTCGCTGAAATATTCCTCTAATTCAGTCCGGAAAAATCAAAAGCTCCGGAGGGAGGCCGAGGAGCCGTCACATCACAAGACCACTTCGAGAGCAAGGGAGACAAATTACAAAACGACGACAAAATGTGAGGCAGGGATGATGAGGAGGGATGCAGAGAGAAAGAGATGTGTTCATCAAAAGGTACATTTCAGCTTCTTGTTGCACGAACAACAAATGCACGGTGAAGGTGAGGAAAAACATTTGCCAATTCATGACCTGCATTTGATGATTGAGATGCTAAAATGAAAAGTGATTACAGACATGTCAGTGTGTCTTTTACCTTATGGGGTAGCAACCTTAAACATTTTGGTCTATATTAATAAAGCCCGGATGTCACAACAACAAGTCCAGGTAACAGGTACAGGGATCAATATGCCACTACTGAAAACAGAACTGAGAACTGCACACAAAGAAGAACTGAGCTTTTAGATGATCTGCAGATTCCCCACAGTCTGTTCAAACAAGTGTTATGACAAGTTGTATCTTGTGGTGGCTCAACACTAAGGCCAGTATGTGTAGAATTTGAAAGTGGTTTAAAAGAGTCTGATGGCACAAGCTTTCGACTTAAAGGGATTGGCTGGGTTTTTTGTGTGATACAAGATAGAATGTGATAGATTTAGGGGTGGTAATTAATTTCTTGAAAATGATTTACTTGGCGGGTTAAAGAATTCAGTTGTAAGCTTGTTCGTAAACCGCTCATTGAGGGTGTTTTTTTTTGTGTGTGCAATGTGTTCTGGGTGTCTCCTTATCCAGAGTTTGGCTGCCCAAACTCATGAGTGGTTTTGTAATCTTAGTTTAATCAAGAAGCATCTATTCTGCAGAATTATTTTTTGTTTTGGAGCAGCAACAACTGTTCAACTGGAAGACCTCAACCTTCCTACCTCAAGGGTAAACAATGCTTTTCATTAGTGTGTGTGTCCACATAGAACTTCATGCCACCCCTGGATAAATTAGGCCAGGCCAGGCCAGGCCAGTCAAGAAAGTCTAACTCCTCTACTACTGCTCGGATATAAGTATATGCATATATATATAATTATATAGTGGACGCATGATAAAAACATTAAACTGTAAGTCAGTAAACAGGTCAAACTATAACTCACCTGAATACAACATCATTGGGGAAGCTATTAAACCAGATCAACTAAGGAGACATTTTAGTTTGAATTCAACCTTCCACTTGCCTCATCTCTCCTTGGTGAAAGAGGATTTAGGCAATTTTAGAACTGCAGTGAAATAAAAAACATCCTTAAACCAAAACATTACTGCGTTAAAGTAATCCTTGCTGGTATAATCGTGCTATTTTGGAAACAGTTTAGAGTTTTCTTCACGTGGACGAGGGTTGGTAGAGGGAGCCATCATGTCACCCCCTGCTGTTTGCATTCAGACCTGTCTGTCCAAATGACACGCATGGTCCCTGCACACATTTCAGATTCCCCAACATGCCATGATCCCACCTCTATTCCCTGTGAGATTGTGTGTTATCTCGCTGCTTCAGTTGATCTGCCTTTAATTAGTTTTCTGAAATATACACACGCTGCTTAGAAAAGAACAAAACAACATGTCTCTGCAGGGGAGCGATGGGTGAGGAGGAGGAGAAAGCCTGCAGCGAGAGAGTGAGGGGTGGAGAAGAGGAGGGGAGAGAGCAGAGAGGAGGGTGAAGTCTTGAATTAAAGATGAGGAGAAGGCAGTTTAAGAAGAGAGATCACTGACTTGGAGCACAAACACACTTAAAGCTCAACAGCCAAAGTCAACATATGGTGTTTTTATCTGTGCATGATGAAGTATTTGATTTAGCAGACATTCAGTTCTGCTGCTTTGCTATGTGTTTCATAAGGCTGGAGAGCCGAAATACTTTGAATTCACAATTTTAATTTTAGTGCTTTGGTTTGTGTGTGTTTTGAACAAGTGGACACATTCAATATGTGTATGTGTGGGTGCACATGTTCCTCGAAACAGGAGGATATTGCCACCTGGGAAGGAGAGAGTAGCAGAGGAAGTGTGATTACTTGAACCACAAGAAGCTCAAACAATAATTTTGGGATTTAAAAAAAAAAATTCAGGCTAATACTGTTAAGCAGGTGAAGCTCAGTACCAAATGACGCTAACAAAGCTAGTTTAACAGTTGGGTCACTGACAATTGGTCATTTAGTGATACATTTTGGTCTTTAAAATTTGACTTTAACTTATAATTTAGCTAAAAAGTATTGTGTTGGAATGGCATGAAGTAGCCTGTTGCTTTTCTGTCGTGTTGATACATGTTAGCCTGTACTTAAAGGCAGGGTTGGTAATTTTCTAAAACTAGCATAATTTTGAAAGTAGCATTCCCTCAGTGCTCCGTCTGCACCATAGTCTGCACCCAAAACCCTATCCTCTGTGCTCCCTCAGAATCCACGCCCCTCAATTACATGCACAAGCGCCATTGGTCCAGAAGCAGACCTTAGCTCAGGCTTTGAGTCTGGGCTCGTGCACGCAAGGGGTAGAGAACGAGTAGGGAGACAGGGAGTGGTGCCTTGAGTCATGCTAGAGCAAGTATGCTACCATGCTAACAATGACAATTCTGTTGTATGTTAGTGTACCTACATTTGCATATTAGCACTAATGTGAAAGTAAGACTGAAGACAATGCACATACCTACAAAAAAAAGTTGACGAAAACAATTCAGCTTTAAAAAAGATTAGATTATTTATATCTTTAATTGAGTTACATAGGGGGCTTAGCAGCTGTAAAAACCCAAATTAGTCTTGAAGCTGCTGTTATAGAAGCAAATGCTGAGTGGTTTTGAAGGCCATAAATGTGTTTATAACTTCACTTTCAATGAATACTTCGTTACATTTTGGGCAGTCATTTAAGTACTATAAATTATTTTTATATGGGGAAAATCTGTTTTTAATGTTGTTATCCTAATGTGTTCCAACATGTGCAAGTAAAAGAAACATGTGCCTCATGTTAGCCACATCTGTCTTCTGTCTGCTAAAAACATCTGTTGGCAAAATGTCGGTCAAAGAAGGTGTAGGATGTCTGCTTTACAGCTGCACATATGGGTCCTGGAATTTGTATTTAAATAACTAACTACAAACACAGAGAGACACATTCTTCTGTGCACACTTGTCGGAAATCCAGTCCTAATTTTGAGTTGTAATAAAAAGACAGACCTTTGTAATTTTGTGGGAAAAGCACAGACACACATAACGAAGAAAAAAGGAAACAAAGTGTTGAAGACACACATTATGATCATTCAGGATTTATTCCAGGAGAAAGACAAATGAAACACAATCAGTCGCTCTGGCCTGTGTTGTCATGGTAGCTCTGATATGTGCACATGATTGTCGAAGGCATCTGATATACAAGCCCCATGAACAGAAATCATCATCATCATCATCATCATCATCTTCATCATTATCATCCCAGCACAACAGGTGTGTGGCAGGCGGTGCTCACTCTGAGACATGAGGGTGTCGTCGGCATAACGACGGTGCACAGGATGGGAGTTTGTTGTGTGTCACATGCAGAGAGTAAATACAATACAGCCCAGCTAACTCAGCAGGCTCTGGACAAGGACACCCACAGGGAGACACCAGTTCCAAGAAGCAGCTTGTTTAAAGATTCATTCAGACAAACAATTTTTAAGAAGCAGAGCAGAGTCTTAAGGGCAGATGCAAAGACCAGATTATAATATTTTAGACAGACTGAAGAAAAGCAACTTGGATACTTACAAAGTGTGATTATGCAACTCTTCAATCTTTTGGCAACAATAAGGAAACATTTATGGAAAGAAAAATTTACTTGCTTTTACACTATTATAATTTACAAAGCTGTAAAATACATACACTTTTAACACTTAGTTTTTCAATCTAAAAAATGGACTGTGTCCTATATCCCAGTGCAACTGACAAACCAGTATAAAATACTGGGACATGCAACAATATTACCGCAAGTGCAGCTGGCACCGTCACTAACTGCAAGCGTCTTGACACGATTTGACAATTTGCCTCCATTCATTAAATAGTGCAAGCAGCCAGTTCGCTGCACAAATCCTGCTGGTATACATCGCAACATGGACAAGGTTGGTGGCGCCACTTAAAAAAATAAAAACTTTTTCTGTCATTAGGTCATAATCTGGCATTCAAATTAAACAGTGGTATACTGTTAGGTAAAAAAAAACTTTGTGCAGCGCTAGTTTGATGGTAAAGACTAATCAATAAATTAAAGACAACGAGTTATCAGCAGAGGTGGGCAGCGCCGCTCTTGGTGAATTGGTGGTTGGCAGTGGGTCCGTACTTATAAACAATCTGCTATCTACTGTAGGCTGAAACCTCAACAACTTATCTGGTAGCTAGCAGGATTGGAAACTCCACATTGGGGAAACAGATGGCACTAGAAAGAGCTAAACAGCTGTGGACTTTGCTGAACGCAATGGAAATTGAAACATTTTTACCTTCTGGGCGACCCCACAAAAACAGAAAGATTCTAATACACTAGGTTTTATGTTAATTTACTTCCTGTGAACTGTTCACAAATTGTTTTACATAGGGTTTTTGGTCTAAATCACACAAGAGGATACCTTGATGTGCTATCAAAGTTACCATCCTAACCTCACTTAAGAACATTTTAATGCATTGTTTTTTTTAAATTCCATTTCTGTCAGATCATTTTTGAAATACCAAAGGCCCCAGTGACGACCGTATCTGGTA